TTTCATCACCTCCCAAAAGAAACCCTATACCCATTAGTGATTATTTCCTTTTCCCATGTACCTCTAAGTCAGTGGTTCTCAACCTTCCTAATGCTACAACCCTTTAATACAGTTCCTCAGGCTGTGGTGACCCCCAACTATAAAATTATTTATTTCATAACTTTTGCTGCTGTTATGAATAGTAGTGTAAATATCTGATATGCAATCCCTAAAGGGGTTGGAACTCCCCTTTAGGGAGTAGAACAACTACGGTCTAACTCATGGCTACCATCTTTTGTCCCTGTGGGTCAGCCTATGCTGGACATTTCACATAAAATGGAATCATGAGTAGCATTTTGTGTAGCATCTTCCCTTTCTAGTATTTTTATGATTCATCTACATTGTGAATGGTTGAAGAATATTCCATTACAGTGGAACTGCTACAAGCTGCAACATTGTACAGTAATTGTTCAGCCGTCTTTTCATGAGCGATGTATCAGGACCAAGGGCTCAGGTAAAGGCTCTGTGAATAAAGTGACTGCCCTTTGCTGTAGACTGCTGTGCTAGCTCCCTTTCTGTTACATGTTTGGGGATTAATTCCCACACTTCAGAACTGTTTAGTGAAAACAGTTTCCCACTGCTAAGTCTTGTTCCTCTCTCTAGGTTAAGTGCGGAGATCTGCCTTCCTGCAATTATTTTTATCAGCAGGCATTTCGTCAGAGTTTAGGGTCCAGGCAAAGAGCATCCCATCTAAGATAGTCACAGATTTCCAAGGACAGACTACCTGCCCAAGCTGCTGCTCTGGTTTTACCCCACAACACCCACAATTAGAACAGCTGATAACAGCGTAGCCCGGAACTGATAATTTAGAGGCCTGGGTCTCTTCGTTTAGAGCAGTTAACTCCAGACCTGCGGCAGTAGTAACTAGTGTCTGGTGTGATGTGCTATCCGGTCAAGAGCCACCAGCTTCCCCTAGGTTGCCTAGTTACCTGGCAGCCTCTATACATACTGGGAGAAAAGGAGTGGCACACTGATTTACGATACAATCCGTGCCCTATTCATAATTTTACTGAAAGTAAACCTTTCAGCTCTTTTATCTATCACCTAATAATGCAGCACCCTAGAATTTCCTTAACTTTCTCCATTAAGTAGTACACCGAATGTGTACTAGCCACTCGTGTGTGTGTGAAAACCCTTAATCTGATTTTCCGTGGGGCAAAAGAATTCTGGCCCTGGAACCTGCTAGGGCTGGAGAATTGCTGGTTTTAAGGATGCATGTGACTGGGAACGTTTGTAATGGGTAGAACAAGGGACAGTGTAGAATGATGTAGTAGAAAGAGCAAAGGAGAATTGATAGAAATGAGAAAGAAGGAAGAATAAAGAAAAAGATGGACGATTCCTGTTGTGAGTAGATTTCCTACCCCTCAGATTTCTAGCCCCTCTTTTGCTGTCTGTGGCATCTTTAATTGAACCCTGAAAGGTGAAAATTTTTAAGTCCCCTAAACTCAACCTTCTTAATGCTGTGACCCTTAAATACAGTTCCTCATGTGGTGACCCCTGGCCATAAAATTTTCATTGCTACTTCATAACTGAATTTTGCAACTGCTATGAATTGTAATATAAGTATGTTTTCTGATGGTCCTAGATGACCCCTATGAAAGGGATGTGTAACCCCAAAGGGGCCAAGGTCCACAGGTTGAGAACCACTGTTATAGGGAATGAAAATGCTGAACCACATTCTCAGTCTTAACAGATTGGTTTCTCTGCTGATGGACATGTGGGTTTCCTCTTGGCTGCTGTCAACACCACAACCACAAGAGTTGAAATAGAAGCTTTTCTGTGAATGCAGCTGTTAATTTCTTGGGTGTGTATTGAGAAATAGAACTGCTATGTTGTTACAGTCCTCCACCCATTTACAGCTCTGCTTTATTGCCATTTCTGGAGGACTGGGCTCCACCTCAGGGCGTCTCCACAGTGTTTTCCTTTGAACACTGTCACTAATTCTGATGATTTTTTAATTTTAAGAGCCATTTTATGGCTTTCCTACTGTGAGTGGTTCATGTTAATGGCATTTTTCTTACTGTTCTTTCTTTGAACTAGAATACGCTTCCTGCTTAATTTCAGCTACCCAAAGGAAGCACTATATACTTCACCTTTTTTGTTAATATTTTTTTGTGTGCCAGAGTTTGTTATTGCTGGACAATGGCCTTACTGCTGCGCTGAGTCCTCATATCTGAATTTTTACCCTTGTGGATCAATTATTTTGTGTCATGTCCAAGATTTCACAAACAGCTTTTTCTGATTTTTTGTCTCTTATTTGTCCCTGTTAAATTACTCTTGTCCTGTCCACAGTTATAGTCACTCCCTCCAGTTCTTCATTTTCAAATTACCAGCTAGCCATTATAATTTATCTATTGTCTAGTTGGATACCAGGCTTTCCCCACTGTTCTCTGTTCCTTTGTTTAATCATCTCGTATTACATACCCATTTCTCCATTCTTGCCCTTGAGCTTGTCACATGGTCAGTTTTCACTGTAAATTCATGGTATCCAGGTTCAGGTGAGCACATAGGACTTTTTATTCTGGTCATATTTGAGTGACTGTTAGAACTGCCTACCTGAGGGAGTTTAAGCTTATAAATTCTTGAGCCTCGGTCTGACCAGGATTTTAGTTACCTTGTTTTGTTTGAGACAGAGTCTCAGTATGTAGCTCTGGCTGGCCTCGAACTTGCTACGTAGCAGGCTGGGCTACCTGGGATTAAGGTTCTCACTACCAAGTCAGGCTGCCCAAAACCAGGTTTACTAGAAGAATGAACTTCACTAAAGACCCAGACTAGCTAACGTGCACGTGTTCTCTGCTTATTCTCTGTTCTAATGCACCCTTACACTTGGTATCTCACCAATTCTTCACGTTGCCTCCTTAGCTCACATTTTCCTATTTGAAATAAATAAATAAAACAGTTATTTTACTGTTTAAGAAAACAAAGAATCCCATTTGTTTTTCATAAGCTCTCTCTTCTCTCCAGGAATGGGGTTGACCCAGGATGTAATCTTCCTTCCTTCCCTTCCTGAGAGTGTCTCCCGTAGCCCAGGATGGCCTTGGATTTGACTTGTAGCCAAGAAGGAGCTTGAGTTTGTGATACTCCTCCCCACCTCTGAGGACTGAGATTACAGGGCTGCCCCACGACCATAACATCTTCTTATAAAATGTGGGGTGTCGATCCCAGGGCTTGTGCTTTCCAGGAACGGTTCTCCCAGGTTCCAAAGGGACTTGGACTTCCTGAATACCCTCTATCTCCTTTACTTATTTTCCACTTGCATTGTTTTAAAATGCTTTCTCGGGGCTGGAGAGATGGCTCAGTGGTTAAGAGCATTGCCTGCTCTTCCAAAGGTTCTGGGTTCAATTTCTGGCAACCACATGGTGGCTCACAACCATCTGTAATGAGGTCTGGTGCCCTCTTCTGTCCTGCAGACATACACACAGAATATTGTATACATAATAAATAAATAAATATTTTTAAAAATGCTTTCTCAGGAGAGGGGGAGGGAAATAGGAGGCGGTGGCGGGGAAGAGACAGAAATCTTTAATAAATAAATAAGTTAAAACAAAAAAAAGAAGTGATAGTGATAAATCATGAAAAAAAAGTATCACCTGTTCACTTTTGGCCTTTATCCTTTCTGTTCCCATGGATACCAAAGGGTTATTTCAGTTTCAGGGCCTCTTCGAAAGCCCTGAAAATGTTCCCTTTTGTAAGGCTGGAAAAAAGTAAAGTACTTATGAGCTTCCTATTCCAAACAAACCTCAGTTTATTCATAAAAAATTCATATGAGAGGCTAGAGAGATGGCTCAGTGGCTAAGAGCACTTCCACTCCCGAGGACCCAGGTTTGATTCCCAGCATCCACATGACAGCTCACAAGCTGGCTATAACTCCAGTTCCAGGGGGTCTGACGCCCTCTCCTGACCTCTATGGGTACCAGGCACACTCATGGTGCTCAGACACACATGGAGCCAGAGCACACACAAAAAATATTTTTTTTTAAAAAAGCTCATGTTTGTTACAGTTTAAAGGAAAGAGATGGGACATATCTTTAGCTTGGTCACAGTTCATAACTACATTACGACTCATCTCGGGTTGTCCCCAAAAGGCGATTTCCATAACCCCAGGCTGGTCCTCAAAACTGTAGGTTCGCGAACTAGATTTTAAGCAGCTTGGTGAAGGTAAGTAACTGAGCACTGGGAGATTACTGCAGAATCAACCGAAGAAGAGATTCTAAAAGAATTGTTCTTACACCTTACTATGCAAGAACGACCCCAGGGTGCTGGCTAGGGCATGCCTGGTATCAGGATACTTCCCTGGTTCCAGCTGCTTTAGAAACCAAATAAGATTACAAATTGTGTGGCTATTGTAAAAGTAAAAATATTTGGTCTTACAGTCTCAGTCCGTTAAAAACGAGGGAGAGCCCCCGTTTCCCTGCTTCCTGTACGAGTCAGCACACGCAAGATGATGGTCTACAGATCTTGCCCAGTCATGGTTTATCTGTTCTTCAGGCATAAGGAAGGCAAGTTTTAAGCTTCAGCTTACCCATCCTTTCGTGTCTACTCTGGGCTCTACCCCAAATCATGCCCTAGCATGATGGCGTCCCCAGGGTCCTTTTTCATGTCAAGGCTGTTCACCAAATACCTCTTTTACCTGCCTCTGCTAAACAACCTACTAAGCGCCTCGGTCCACCTCCCGGAACCGAAAGGAAGTGAGGAATCGCGACTGGGCGGAACCTCCCTGGGTGGGGCCCGCGCTCCGCCGCGCCCCGGGCGGGTAAGGTAGGCACCTCTCACGGTCTCCTCAGTCCTCCAAAACCGCCACCTTCGCCCGCCTCGTGGCCACTCGAGGAACCAGCGATCCCTTGAGGGCAGAGGCGGTCTGGCCCGGGCGGAAAGGTCCCTACAAACTTAAGCCCGTAGGTGTGGAGACGCGGGCGTCACCTGACCGAACCTGCGGAATCCAGGTGAAGGGGCGGGGCGGGATGGCGCGGAGCCAATCATAGCGCCTGACGACAGCGCTCCACCAATCAGAATCAGGGAGGCTCCGGCTCTCGCGGGGCGGGCCCGGGCGGGTGAGAGCCGCCCCCTTGCAGCTGGGTGGCCAACGCCTTCGCCCAAGGGTTACTTGGCTGGAGTGGTGCTGCTGCCCGGAGCTGAGCGGACCGCAGGGCTGTTGGCAGGCGGTGCCCTCTTTCCCTAGCTCAGTTCTCTGCAGCTCTTGGCCGTGACAGGTGCTTGTGTCCGCGCCTGTCGCGGACGCATTCTGACCCCGGCCCTTCTTCTCTCTGGAGACTGCCTATGGCTGGGGACCGAGTGAGGTCGTTGCCTTGACGACGGCAGCATGCGGCCCGCGGTCCTCGGAAGCGTGAGCTTGCGGAGGGCAGAAGCCAATCTGCCTCCCTACCTGCTTCACCTAGGACCAGTAACTGCGTCCGCAGAGAAAATCCCAATACTGGGATTGCTAGTTTTGCTAGTCAGCATCTTTTAGATCTGCTAGCGAGATGCATACCACCTCCAGTTTGTTTCCAAGTTGAAAACCTTTGGCTCTTTCCATGTGAAGGGTTTGGAAGACATAGTAAGTATAATACTTTGTAAAGCCCTGTTATCTCATTCTTTTTATCTATAGAAGATTTCGGTCTGATTTTAACAAAAGAAAATTGGTGGTATTTGAATAGTATGCTTGTATGGCACAGATCCTAGATTACTGTAGTGCCATCGTACCAGGCTCTCTTTTTGTGTACCACGTGATAGTCATAGATTTAAGAATGGAAGGCAAGAACAAACATAGATTATAAATAACTGAGGAAACAAGGCGTATTTTAGGCCGTGATACTTTTAAGGTATTTGTAGACAGACTCACTTGAACGAGCAGGTGTGCTCAGTGTAGTGTGTCCACATGCGCAGTTGGTTGGGAGAATGAACTTGGAGATTGTATGATACTAGCTCATGATATGTTTCAGAGCTCTGTAGACATGCTTAAAGTAATTTTTATTTTGTTCGCTTTGCATCTCCAAATATCTAGGATGCCAATTACAGTATGATTAAAAACAGTCCAGGATATAGTTTCCAGCTATTTGTATTATTGGCATTACTAACATAAAGCATGCTCCTTTATAATATATACTTCATGGAAGGCTAAAAACTAAGCATTAGAAGGGTTTTCCAAATATAGACGTTTTATTAAAAAGTAATTAAAATTAAAGAGATTTTAAAATGCCAAATATATGGGAAGCCAGTGCCTGGGACACTGGAAGTAGGTTTTTGTAGAGTCTGATACCCAAACCGAAATAAACTAGTGAAGGGTTTTGGATTTGATGTTCATGGGGATTGCTTTCATTCCCCCATCACACCAGTTTGCAGTTTGCAAATCGTGGGTGCTGGATGGTGTCGTTCTGTGGCAGAAAAAAAACATCTTCTTAACCTGTTGGAGGCCTGGGTTAATATTCTCTCTCTCTCTCTCTCTCTCTCTCTCTCTCTCTTCCCCTCCTTCCTTCCCTCCCTCCCTTCCTCCCTCATCTCTATCTCATAAAACCTCAAGAGTTGGAAATGTAATATATACTTTGGATTATTGTAATTTCCTAGAATAAAAAGGCAATGGGATTTTTTGTATGTTTGTTGGTTCTCCCTTTGCTCTTCATATGCAGATAGAAAAGGCACTAAAACGTCAGCGGTTTACAGTTTTAGCTTCAGATCGCCATAGGACTCCATCAGTATTAAGAGGAAAGAATCGTTTTTGTCTCATAAGTTTGGTGTTTTGTATGGTCAGGCTTTAAAAATCCAACTATGAGTCATTTGAATATAAACTTACCTAATGGTTAAGCCCTTTCAAACCCCTGTAGAAACCAAAGTAGGATCTGAAACAATGTTTTTTATTCATGGCTACTGGAATTTAAATTTCAAAAACCAGACTTAAAAACAAATAAAATTTATCCTGGACATGGTGGCATACTCTTTTAATCCCAGCACTTGTGAGGCAGAGTCAAGTAAATTCTATATAGTATATAGAATATTACTATATTACACCATCCTAAGCCCACACTCTACCACTGAGCAACATTTCCAGCCTAAAAACAATGAGTTTTTTCTGTATTAAATCATGCAATATGGAAAAAGTTGATTACTGGATTTTCATCAATTATTGATAAAATAAGAAGATTCCATTCATGATTGACTTTATTCAGAAAATGCCTTATAATGAGATAAAAGAATCCTGGTACAGAATTTAAGTCTAATATAGTAATTTAATCAGTATATAAGAAAAGCAGAGAAGGAACTTGTGACATGGCTCAGAGCTTAAGAGCTCTGGCTGGAACCTGGCGTTGGTGGCCCATACCTTTATCCCAGCACTTATGAGGCAGAGGAAGGCAGAGCTCTGTGAGTTCAAGACCAGCCTGGTCTACAAAACAAAACAAAGCCCTGACTGCTCTTCCAAAGACCAGGGCTCAATTCCGAGCATCTCCATGGCAGTTCACTCTACCCGTAACTCCAATTCTAGGGGGTCTGACACCCTCACACAGACACACATGCAAGAAAACACCAGTGCACTAAAAGAAAAAAAAAGGAAAAAAGCAGAGAAAATTTATTAAAGATTCAGCCTTGATTCAGTGTATGGAAACAGGATTTTTCTTTTTAGCTCTGGCTGTCCTGGAACTTGCTTGTAGACCAGGTTGGCCTCAAACTCACAGAGATTTGCCAGTTTCTGCCTCCCAAGTGCTAGGATTAAAGGTGTGCACCACCATGTCCAGTAGTTACCTATTTTTATTTTATTTGTATGAATGTTTTCTCTGCACATACGTATGTGCACCAATATGCATGTCTGTGCCTAATGCATATAGAGGCCAGAAGTAGATGTTGAGTCTTCTGAAGCCAGAGCTATGACTGTGATCCATTGTGGGGGTTTTGGCAACCAAACCCAGGTTCTCTGGGAGAGCAGTACATGTTCTTAATTGCTGAGCTGTCTCCAGTCCCAGAATAAAAATTTTGATTTTCATGAAAACCAAATTCAGTTGTGCCCTTTTCATCTCTAAGTGAAAAGGATCATGCTTTGTGAACGTGTTTTGAACAATAGCTTGTTGCTTCACATATTTAAAAATAAATTTATTTATTAATATGAATTTATACAATCTAAAATGTAAGGTTAGTGGTTTTGATCCCTTTGCATTGTTTATTTTAAATTACATAAACATTTTGAATGCTTAGCTTAGTGTGGGAATGGTAAGAAACTGTGATAGGTTACAGATAGCTGTGAACCTAGTGACTTGCTGTAACAAGGGAAACAATTTCCCAAGAGTGAATTTGCTGGGAGACTGGAGGAAATGGACTCACTTAGCATTGTTAATGCTATGCTTTGGTTTCCACAGCAAGAAAAATTCCTACTGGTTTTAAATTACAATGGAAAAATATGAGAACCTAGGATTGGTTGGAGAAGGGAGCTATGGAATGGTGATGAAGTGTAGGAACAAAGACAGCGGAAGAATTGTGGCTATTAAGAAGTTCTTAGAAAGCGACGATGACAAAATGGTAAAGAAAATCGCTATGCGAGAAATCAAGTTACTAAAGGTAAGTGCATGCATTGAACTGAAGATTACCTGGTTCTTGTTCAAGGTCGTGTCACATTTGCAGGAAAATGTGTGTGTGGGGGGGGAAGTGCACATATGTGTATGTACATGTGGAGGCCGGAGGACAGCCTTGAGTGTTATACTGCTTAGCGTCTGGCTACCCAGGAACTTGCCAAGTAGAAAAGACTCTCTGGCCAGGGAGCCCCGGTCTTCATGTCTTCACCTTCCCAGCACGTGTGTCATGCCTGGGTGTTCATGCAGGTTGGGGATCAAACTCAGACTCCTGTGCTTTGCTGATTAGGTGTCTCCCTAGCCCTGCGTTTTTATATTTGTCAAACTTGGTGCATGCCTGCAGTCTCAGCACTTGTGGAGCAGAGGCAGGCAGGTCCCTGTGAGTTGCAAGCAAGCCTGGTCTCCATAGCAAGTTCTAGGACAGCCAGGGCCATATAGAGAAAGCCTCTCTCAAAAGAGGCAACAACAACTGTATGTGAGGATTTTCTTCAGGATGCTCTCTCACCAGTAAACAACATGGAGACCTATTAGTAATTATAAATGCTTGGCCAATAATGTAGGTTTGTTAGTAACTAGTTCTTACAACTTAAAGTAACCTATATGTTTTATCTGTGCTCTATCATGGGTCAGTAACTTATCTCAGTACAGCATGCTCATCTTCCTTCTCTCTGTGTCTCCTTGAGACTTCATCCCCGCACCTAACTATTAGCCTTTTAGCCCTTTATTAAACCAATGAAAGCCACACATATTCACAGTATACAAAAAGATTGTTCCACAGCATTTCTCCCCTTATGTCTAATTAAAAAGGAAGGTTTTGACTTTAACATAGTAAAATTATATACAACAAAAACAGTTATCAAATAAGAATTACAGTTATAATATCCAGTCCATTTGTATTTGGCAAATTTAGAGAAAATACTCTTTTATTCAGCCTGGTCTACATAGCAAGTTCCATGACAGCCAGGGCTATATAGAGAAATCCTGTCTCAAACAACAACAACCCCCAAAATGCAAAGGATAAGTTTCTTTTCTTATCTTTTTGGCAATAAGAAACAAATAATTATTCACTTATATAGTGAATGTAAATGATTCTTAAAATATTTCGTTTCTCTGCATCTGTCAATCACCCTGTTACCTACCACCTGTGCCGGGGTCCCAAAGACCATCAAGAACAGGGCTCATTTCTCAGCATAGAGCTGTACCAATGGCTTTGGGAAGTGTGGAATGCAAACCAGCATGGGGTAAAGTAGCAAGGACTGAAATTCTGAGGAAACCCAGGACAAGCTTCCAGACTCTTCTCCCAGCAGAGTCACAAAGGATGTGTGATTTCTTCCAGGAGCAAGTCATGACAACACATGAAATGATGCCTACTTAGAAAACTCATTAGAAACTCGGTGCCCAGGGACTTTACTAGGGATTTGGCCATCTTGCCAGTCCAATGTCTGGGTGTTTTTCTCTCAATTTTTGTTGACATATAATCATTAAAAGCATTAAAAGTATATGATAATATATATCATAAGAATAAAAACCTGAATAAGGGCCAGGTATGGTGACACATGCCTTTAATACCAGCACTCAGGAAGCAGAGGCAGACAGATCTCTGAGTTCTGAGTTCGAGGTCAACCTGGTCTACAGCCAGAGCTATATAGTGAGACCCTGTCTCAACAAAACCAAACCTGAATAAGATCCTGTAACCAGTATATAAACAAAGAAAAAGAGAACATCAAAACATTCTAGAATGGGTAAGATGGCTTAGCTGGTAAAGGTGCTTGCTGCCAAGCCTGAGAACCTGAGTTCAATCCCCAGGCCCCACATGGTGAAAGAAAAACTGATTCCTGTACACACATGCTTACATATATAAACACATGTCATACAAATAACATTTCATAGGAATACCAACCAGCAAGCTCCATACACCTCCTCTCGTCAGTGGCTGTCACCTGCCCCCTGCTGAGAAAACAAGTGATCCTGAGGGCTTTTATAAATTTTTTTTTATCATTTTTTTTCCAAGGCAAGGTTTCTCTGTCCTTAGCTGTCCTGGAACTCACTTTGTAGACCAGGCTGCCCTCAGTTAACAAAGATCTGCCTCTCCTCCCTAGTGCTGGGATTAAAGTCATGCACTCATGCCCAGTGTGCTTTTCTTTGTGTTTTTGGTTTTTTTTAAGATTTATTTTTATTTTATATGTATGTGTTTTTGCCTTCATGTATGTTTGCACCGTGTGTGTGTGTTTGTGTGTGTGTTGCCAGCAGAAGCGAGAAGAAAGATGATCCCTGAAACTGCAGTTATAGATGGTTGTGAGCCACCATGTGGATGCTGGGAATTGAACTCAGATCCTCAGTAAGAGCAGTCAGTGCTCTAACCTGAGTTATCTCAAGCTCCACCTCCCCTTTTGGGTAGTTTTAGTATGATGTTTTTTTTCTTCTTTTTTAAAGATTTATTTATTTAGTTTATGAGTGCTCTAACTGCATGTAAGCCTTTATGCCAGAAGAGGGCATCAGATCCCACTGTGGATGGTTGTGAGCCACCATGTGGTTGCTGGGAATTGAATTCAGGACCACTGGAGGAGCAGCCTTAACTGCTGAGCCATCTGTCCAGCCTCTACTATGATGTTTCTAGTGTTTTGGGCTCCAATTAGCATATTTAACTTCTTACCGTCTCTCCTGATTTGCAGCTCCCATCACGCATTTGCACTGTGCACTCTGAGCAACAATCGTTATGATTCCTCATTTAATTCACAGATTCTCTCTTCCGTGGGTCATTAATCCCGGTTATTGAGTTGACATTTTGTAGTATTTTTAAAATGCTTTTTAAATTATGAAATATAATCCATATATGGTCACGGAACAATGTTCTCAGTTGGGAACTCCAGCTGGCTGCCTTCGCTGGGCTCCCAGTTTCTGCTGATGTTGGAAGTGCCCGATTGGAAGATGGTTTGCTATCTGCTGTTTCTGTCCATCTGCTGTAAGATGATTTGTTCTTTTATTTTTGCTTGCTGTATACTTCATAGGCTCACTCATTCTAAACCAAATACATGGCTTTCACAAAGCATTCCCCACAGAACAGACACTTAATACTGTTAGTGATGTATGTAGATTTCTATTTGTTAGCTTCCTGTTGTCTTTTATACTGTTTTTCAAGTCTTTCATCATTTATTCTTTTGCCAGTTTTTCAGCAATTACATGAAATACTATACAACCTTAACTTACTAATGCCCCCGAATAGCTGCTTTTGCAATGAAGATTCTTAGACATTTTAAATGTACTTGTTTTGGGGTGGTCACCAGATAAGACGGTTTGGGCATGGTTTTAAGCCTATGGAAAGACTTTATTAGCCAGCTGACAACTGTAATGGGTGTTCAGGATTCCAGTGTAACCCAAGCCTTTCTGAGGGTGAATTTTTCCTGGGTTGACATACTTCAGCTAACAAGAGCAGTTAGACGGAGCAGAACTACAGAGCCAACAAACAAGGTTAGTACATCTAGAGACTTTCCTAGAACTATAGACTTGTATGGATTAGAGCTTTCAGTTTTGGCAGGTGGTGCTGTCTACATGCTGAGTTTTACAGCCTGAATGGTACTTCCATCATGGAGTCAGCTGTGCTGAGGCATGGGGCCCTGTTATGGTACTTACTCCCTCCTTTTCATCCCTTTCCCCTTACAAGAGAGATATGTTATTACCTCTATGTATTTTAATTCTCTGTATTGTTAGATATGCATAGTTGGCATTTATTGGGATATTTTAATATTATCTTTTGCCAAGCAGTGGTGGCGCATACCTTTAATCTCAGCACTCGGGAGGCAAAGGCAGGAGGGGCTGGAGAGACGATGTGGCTGGCAGTCATGAGTGCTCACCACTCTTCCTGAGCCCTGCACTGGGTTCTAGCACTCACATCAGGTGGCTTCAAACTACCTGTACTTCCAGCCTCAGGAGTGCTAATGCCTTTCTCAGGCCCTCACCAACATGCTCACATATATGAACTACACTCAGACTGAAGCATAAATAAATAAGTAAAAGAAGAAATAATTTACCTGAACATTTGGTTATTTTCCCTTTTTTATTTATCATCTTCAGTTTTTAGGGTTTCATTGTCTATTTCCATTATGTAGTTATGTTATAGTATATAGTTTAGGGTGACTATATCTGTGTATATATTCGAAGCCATCCTGGTCTACAGAGCAAGTTCCAGGACAGGCTTCAAAGCTACAAAGAAAAATCCTGTCTTGAAAAACCAAACAAAAAATAGAAAACAAAAACAAACAAACAAACAACAAAAAAGACTTCAGTCAGTTATGATGGTACGTGTTTATAGTCCAAGTACATGGGAAGCTGATCCAAGAGGATCAAGGCTATTTGAATCTCTGCCTGAAATCCTTTATTTTCTTTAAAGCAGATTTGTTAGCAAGGAATGCTGTCCATTTTTGTCAGTATGAAAAATATTTTTGTTTTACTTTGTTTTTGAAAAAAATTATCCACAGAAGATAGAATTCTTTGAGTTAATTACATTATTTCAAAATTTGATCCCACTGTTCTGCTGTCTCAGTGTTCCTGTGAAAAGTTAAGTTAGCTGTCTGTTTTATTGCACTTTTAAAAATAAAGATTTATAGCTGAAGACAGACGCTTAAAAGAAATTCCACACTAGCTCAGAACTGAGTACAACAGAGGGTTATTTATTTAGGGGTAGACTCACAGATGACAGTCCTCTGCACAAGTGGGGAACAGGAACCGAAAGAGAGGCCTGACGCATGCTTTACCTTGGCATATATAGTATAAGAGGCCATGCCCAAGTGGGCCAGTAACTTAAAGGCTACTGGCGGTAGGAATTCCTACAGCACATAGCCAGGTACTGTAGCACACGCCTGTAATCCCAGCACTCCAGAGGTGAAACAGATGGATCTCTCTGAGTTGAGGCCTTCTGGTCTGTGTACTGAGTCCCAGGAATACCAGACCTATGTAATAAAGATACTCTTTCAAAAAATAAAATAAAATGTTTGCTTCCTGCTTCATAGCCATGATGCCCCTATGTGTATAATGTTTGTTCCTGTGTAAAACGGATAAATTGCCCATTTTCAAAATTGTACTTTTTTTTACTTAAATACAATTTGAATGGCTGTCATATTACTTGATCACATATTTTAGTGGTTTCTTCCTTTTAAAGGTGGTAACAGTTTTTTATTTATATTGATGAGTGTCAATCTGCCATTTATCTTACTCTTTTCACATAGCATTGTTGAACAGATCTTGGAATTCCTGCCCCTTCCATCTGTCCCCTCCCTCCCTTTCTTCCTCTTTCATGTTAGAGATGAACCCAGGACCTTGCTCATGTTGGTTAAGTTATCTATTACTGAACTGTGTCCTCAGGCCCTTGCATGTTTTTAGTTTTATGGTAATATAATACTTTTGGAGCAGCTAATGGTAAGAGGTTCATTTAGGGGAGAGGACAGGATTTTGCAGGGGGTAACAGAAATCCGCCATGGTTCCTAATCATTTCTTTGTGTCATAGGGCTGAGTATAGAATTGAATTCTGTTAACCTTAATTTTCCTAAATTTGTAATTTCTGATTTTTTACCTAATGAAATTCTTTCTTTGTCTGATAGATTCTTTCCAGCAAGTGTCTGTGTGGTTGTTACTATCTCCCTTCCCTTGTTAGTCTTTGGTGCCATTCGGTTCTGAGGATGCTTTTTAATGTTTTTTTTTTTTTCTCATTGACTTTATTGTGATCTTGGAGCAGAGGAACAATATGCTCTTTGCTATTTTAGAGCTCAAATGTTCTTTTACAATATGCACTATATGCATTGCATTTATGTTTTTCTCATACTAGCACCTTTTAAAGAGAAGTTAATTGCTCATAACTTGGCCTTCTAAAATTATTTTGCATTTTTTATAACAGCAACTGAGGCATGAAAATTTGGTGAATCTGTTGGAAGTATGTAAGAAGAAAAAACGCTGGTACCTAGTCTTTGAATTTGTTGACCACACGATTCTTGATGACTTGAAAGTATTTCCAAATGGACTAGACTATCAAGTAGTTCAAAAGTATTTATTTCAGATTATTAATGGAATTGGATTTTGCCATAGTCACAATGTAAGTATTATGATGCCTATTTTGCAAATCTTTGACTATCTAGATACTAGTAACTTAGTTTAATGAGATAGTTGTTTTGAGTTTGAATTAGTAACATGATTGAAATGAATTGTATTATTCTGATATTGCTGAACTTCATGTGTCATATCATACATGAAAAATTTCTAAAAGATCGTATTTCTAAAAAAAATGGTAGGCCTGCAATGGTTTAGATAAAAGTGGTGTAGGTCCCTGAGGGGCCGCAGCAGGTGGGCAAGGGGTCCACCACCCGAGGCCTCTGTGGGTCCTAGGTGTGTGGGAAGCAGCAGGTGAGAGACAGAGATGAATAGGCATGCCATGCAGAGTGGGTATTTGTTTAGTGGGTTATGGAGGGGGGAGGGAAGAGGAGGGGGAGAGAGAAGAGAGAGTGAGAGAGAAATGGGGGGAGAGGAGAGGAGACCACAGCCACCTCTTTTGGAGGAGAGATGAGCAGAGAGCAAGCAGGTTGGAAGTAGAAGAAAAATCCAATTGCCTCTGTGGGCACAAGGGAGTGAAGTGGGCGGGGCTTGTCCCTGAAAGGACAAGACCATTACAAGTACCTATTAAAATGTTGAAAGGGTACACAATAGACATCCTATTCTCAGTAGCTATATTATGCATTTAGTAGTTGGTTGTAGTTATTTATAGTCTGTACACTAATTTTATAATCTCCGTTTATCTGTTAATTTATTAATCTCTAATACATTAGTAACCTTTTGTACACAAGTTGATTGACTGTGTGTGTGCCCATGTCACAGTGTACAAACTTGCAGGAGTCTGTTCTCTTTTACTGTGTAAATCTAGGGAATTGGTTTTAGGTTGTCATGCTTGGTGGCAAGTGCCTTTATCCACTGAGCCATCTATCTAGCCCTGAAGAATGTTAGAATACTAAATACTTCACTAATAAACCAGACTTAACATTTGTTCATTGGCCATTTTTCTTTTTTTTCTTTTTTCTTTTTTTGGTTGTTCAAGACGGGGTTTCTCTGTCCTGGAACTAGCTCTTGTAGACCAGGCTGGCCTCGAACTCACAGAGATCCACCTGCCTCTGCCTCCCAAGTGCTGCGATTAAAGGTGTGTGCCACCACTGCCCGGTGGCCATTTTTCGTTCTAACATAACATTTGCTGAGTGGATTAGGAAAATTTAAAGTATATACCAAGTAGTATATGTTTTGCTGCCCTATGTTTTTTTGCCTACTTGTAAAGTATGAGAGTATGAAAATCTCTGTTCTTCTCATCTAGTCTATAGCAACACTTTTTTGTCTGCTGAATGTCATAGAAAAGCACCTACAGGACATAAAATGAGTAACTCAACATATGCTTTCACAGTTTTGCAAAATATTTTATATAATACCTCTTTGTGATTACACTCATCATGAGTGATCGTGGTGTATAGTTTGAAAACTGAAGATAATCCGTTGGTAGAGTTCTTGCCTAGTATACACAAAGTCTTGGGTGTGATTCTGAGCACCACAATCCAGTTATGGTGTACATTTCAGGAATCCCAGCACTTGGGAGGTAGAGGCCAGGACAGTTGGCTAAGTAGCAAGTTGGAGGCCAGCCTAGGCCACATGAAACTCTTCTCTCAGCAAATATATAAGAAGGGACTGGAGAGACAATGTCGCAGGCATGCGTGCTCACCACTCTTCCAGAGCCCTGCACTGGGTTCCAGCACTCACAGACTACCTGTACTTCCAGCCTCAGGAGTGCTAATGCCTTTCTCAGGCCCTCACCAACATGCTCACATACATGAACTACACTCAGACTGAAGCATAAATAAATAATAAGTAAGTAAAAGAAAAAATAATTTACCTGAACATTTGGTTGTTTCCCTTTCTTATTTATCATCTTCAGTTTTTAGGGTCTTCTTGTTGTCTACTCTCATTATGTAGTTCAGGATGACTATATTTCTGTGTGTAGAGACATCTAGTTTAATAGGCTTTCCTTGTGAATCCCCTAAATCAATGATCCACTCTCAGAAAATTGATTTTTGAGAAATACAGTTTTGACATTGTTTTTATAATGAAACTTCACATAAATCAAGCTTAGGAAACTGAATGCCAGCTTAATAAGTCAGAGATATGTTGTCATAGGAACAGACTACATGATATATAATTTGTTGGATATGCAGGAATTGGATCACTATGAAGTTTTAACATATTAGTAATTTTTCTCATTGCTGTGACATAATCTCTGATCAAAGCAACTTAAGGAAGGCTGGGCTGATCTGGTACACATTTGAGAGTACAATCCATCATGACAGGGAAGTCATGGTGGCAGGAAGGGAGGCAGCTGGTCGCATTGCGTGGCAGTCAGTGAAGCTGGTGCTCAGCCTGCTTGTCCCTTTGACTCAGCCCAGGACCCCAGCCCATGGAATGGTGTCCCCCACGTTCAGGATAGGTCTCACTTCAGTTAAATGTCTCTGAAACTGACCTCATGGACACAGCCAAAGGTTTGTCCCTTCAAGTTGATAGTCAAGACTCACTTTGATAAATCCTTCTAATTAAAAGATAACCTCTCCAGTACCAAATGGCCAGCTCTAAAAAACTACAGACTAAATAGGTTGTATTTAGAAATACATTTTTATATAACACCAACCATGATTAAGGGGCCCCAAATTTAATAGCAAGGAGGAATAGGAATGTAATGTAGAGACTGAAGGGATGAAAAGTAAGAGGGAAACTATATACTTACAGTTTCAAAAAATTAAAATAAATAATTAAAAACAAAGAGAAAACCCAGTTTCTTCCCAGTGAGTCTGAAATGCTTAGTTTTGGGTGAGTGCACTCTATGTTCATCCTGTCCTAAGAGTAGGATGACCAAGGAAGTTAGCATATGGTGACATCATTAGCTGGCTTGCTCTCTCTCTCCCCTCTCTGTCTCTGTCTGTCTGTCTGTCTGTCTGTCTGTCTCTCTCTCTCTCTCTCTCTCTCTCTCTCTCTGTCTCTCTCTATCTTTTGGAGACAGGATATCTCTGTGTAGCTCTGGCTGTACTGGAACTCACTCTGTAGACCAGGCTGGCCTTGAATTCAGATCCATCTGCCTCTGCTTCCATTGTCTTGCTTTCTGTTGAAGAAAGTGTATTCTGCTTATACATGCATTTCTGTCCCTTTATTTTTTATATCCTTATGACTGATCAGCCTATATTTAACCATGCAGCCTGTCTTCAAGGTACAGGGTTTAATATTTTAATATTGACTGCCTCCACATTTAGAGCATTTCTGTATCTATACAAAAGCTTTTTGTTTTCTCTCATTAAACTTGTTTTTTTTTTTTTTTCCGAGACAAGGTTTCTCTGTGGTTTTGGAGCCTGTCCTGGAACTAGCTCTGTAGACCAGGCTGGCCTCGAACTCACAGAGATCCACCTGCCTCTGCCTCCCGAGTGCTGGGATTACAGGCGTGCGCCACCACCGCCCGGCTAAACTTGTTTTGTTTAAGTGGTTTTTCAGCCTGCAGTTCTCAACCCCTTGGGGGTTGAATGACCCTTTCATAGGAGTCTCCGAAAACCATCAAAAACCACAGATATTTACATTATGAGTCACAACTGTAAAGTTACAGTTATGAAGTAGCAATGAAAATCATTTTATGGTGAGGCACATGATAAAGTGCATTAAAGGGCTCCAGCGCCGGGAAGGTTGAGAGCCACTGGTTTAAAATTCTCATTTTAAAACGGGTCTCAAAATTCTGTCACAGATTTTTGTCAAGTTGTTTTCATTAAAACTGTCACATGAAAAAAAAAAAAAACAAAAGCCGGGCGATGGTGGCGCACACCTTTAATCACAGCACTCGAGAGGCAGAGGCAAGCGGATCTCTGTGAGTTCAAGACCAGCCTGGTCTACAAGAGCTAGTTCCAGGACAGGCTCCAAAGCCACAGAGAAACCCTGTCTCGAAAAACCAAAAAAATAAATAAATAAATAAATAAAACTGTCACATGTGTGCACACTCACACATGCACAAGCACAAAATGGTCCGTAAAACACACTCCTTTTGCATGAGCAAGGATAGAAGGGGAGAGGAGAGGAAGGAAGGAGAGTGGAAAAAAATATGGTTCAATAAAAACAATAACCCCCCCAAATCAAAAAACACAAACAACAGAAAAAAAACAAACACCATGCTCCTTTCCTTAGGCATTTCATGAAGTTAGCGCTATCTTCCAGCTTCCTGCCAGAACGGCAATCACTCTTCTTTAAACTCCGCAAGCTGTAAGCTGTGAGAACTGTATGACAGTGCAGTGCAGGGGTATAGGGCTCATTTGACCCGGGGGTCCAGGATAATCGCCTGAGCCGTGAAGCCAGCTGCTTCCATTGGTGCGTCTAACATATTTGACAAACACATGCTTGACATTGAAGCTCACACTGTTCTCAGGAAGAGAACACTCAAAGTCTCCTTGTCATATCAACAGACCGTGTTTCTGTTGTGACATTGAAGCAAAGGTAACCATCCTGCAGGTTTGGGAATACCAGTCTTCCTTTGGCCCACAGGGACAGTAACCGTGCCACCAATATCATAGACATCCTGGAGGGCCAGTTGCAAAGCTGCCATCAGTGGTCCCACTGGCACTGCCATCCTTCTGGGTGCCATTCTGTCCCTTGAGCTAAGGTGTATTATAGCGCTTGGCTCAGCACGTCATTACCATTCCAACCAGAAATTGGTACAAATGCTACTGGTCAGGGTTGTAGCCAATTTTCTTTTTTAAAATTAATCTTTACATTTATTTTATATACCAACCAGTTTCCCCTCCCTCCTCTCCTCCCATTCCCTCTCTCCACTTCCTTTCTATACCCCCATCCACTCCTCAGAAAGGGGCAGGCCTCCCATGGGAGTCAACAAAGCATGGCATATCAAGTTGAGGAAGGACCAAGCCCCCCCATCAAGGTTGAATTAGGCATCCTATCATAGGCTATGAATAGGTTTCAAAAAGCCAGCTCATGTGCCAGGGTCAGACTCTGGTCCCACTGCTAGGGGCCCCACAGACCAAGCTATGTAACTATCACCCACATGTAGAGAGTCCAGGCCGGTCCCATGCCAACTCCCTAGCTGGAGTCTGTCTGTGAGCTCCCACAAGCTCAGGTCAGCTGTCTCTGTGGGTTTCCCTGTCATGGTCTTAATTCACACCCCTCCCCCACTGCATATATAATTCCTACTCCCTAGCCAATTTTCTTAATGTAGGTGCTGATTTCCTTAACATTACTTCCCATCTCTTCTGGCTATGGGGTGGCTCAATGGAATCTATTTTGTTGACACCAACAATTAGCTGATTGATGCCCAATGTTTAAGCCAGAAGGGCATGCTCAATGGTCTGCCCATTCTTAGAGATAGCAGTTTCAAGTTCACCAACATCAGCCGTAACAATCAGGATAACACTGTCAGCATGAGCTTGGCCTGTAATCACGGTATTGATTAAATCTCTGTGTCCTAGGCCACCAATGATAGTCACACTGTATTTGCTGGTCTCGGACTTCTGCAGGGAGATGGCAGTAGTTACTGCAGCTCTCATGCAGCTTTCAGTTTGCCCCAGACGCAGGTGCACTTGAAGGAGCCTTCTCCTGCTCGGCAGCCTCCTTCTTAAACTTTTTCTTGGTTTGTTTGCCAATTCCACCACATCCGTAGATCGGATGGCCAGTCCTGGAGGCTTGGCTGACTCGGCACGTCCAGCAATGGCAATGTTTCTATGAGTCTTTTTCTTTCCCATTTTGTCTTTGAATTAGTGGTGTTCTGATGCAAACCAGTAATGAAAAAGAAACGTTCATTTTTGATGAGAGAACGGACCTCACTCTAATTTATGAGTTCCATCAAAGCAGTAGCATTTCCTGAGGTCACACTGTTTTTTCCTACTCCACTCTCAAATTCTCCTAGGTTATGTTTCTGTATCCTGCTTTCTCCTTACACTCCTATACCTCTACTGCCTATTCCCAGCCCTCTGTAAGTGGAAACTATCACAGCACCCATTTCAGGGGGTTGTGTGTTAAAATCAGTTAAAGTGTGTAAAACTTCATGTAGTGCCTGACACATGCGTGGCCAAGTGGTTGCTAACATATTACAATATTAAAAAATCTATCATAAAGCTTATCTCTTCCATAAAAATTTTCCTTGACGACCTCTAGTCTTCAACAACATGTTTATTTCTTGGTCTTGACAGTAGTAATTGACTGAAAGTTGATTTGATGGTTAATGATACGTATTTTATTTAATATCTTTGCTGGTTTAGCTAATGCTTGCAGCATGGATGTTCTCTGTTGCCTCCCTTGTGCTGTGCTCTGAGAGGAACAGCAGTGATGCCCTGCTCATGGCAGGCACTGCCCCCCCATTAATTTCTTAACATATTTTATGTTCTGTGTGTGTTTTGTCTTAGATCATACACAGAGACATAAAGCCCGAGAACATACTAGTCTCTCAGTCTGGTGTTGTGAAGCTATGCGACTTTGGATTTGCACGGACGTTGGCTGCTCCTGGGGAGGTTTACACTGACTACGTGGCCACCCGGTGGTACCGAGCTCCAGAACTGCTGGTTGGTGACGTCAAGTATGGCAAGTAAGAGTCAGGAATGAGGGCGCAGATGCAGAGTCTTCAAGAGTGGGATGTGTCTGTAATGAATGACCCACTTAACACTGAAAGGCAGGCCTGGATTCAATTTTTAGTGAGTGGTTTGTAACAATCCCTAGTACATTCTCTTTGGAAGTTCTTTTAAAAATTTCCTTTGAGGGCTGGGTAGCTCAGTGGAGCCCTTGCCTGCTGCAGTGAGAGATCCTGGTTTTACTTTACAGGATGCCAGAAAAAGCTAGTGATATAACCTGAGGTGGATATACTTACTTTAAAGGGAAACTGAGTTATTTGAATGGTCAGAAAGAAATGTATTTGTTAGTGTTTGGAGGGATGGTCCAGCAAGCACAGAGGGCACCTGAGTTTCCAGCACCCATTCTGGTGGCTCACAACTGCCTGCAGCTCCAACGGCAGGAATGATGCCTCTACTCTCCTTGGGCACCTGCGCTTATGTACACGCCCTCATCACGCGCACTTAGTTTAATTAACAGTTAAGTAGGGCGGGGCAGCGCACACCTTTCACCCCAGCACTTGGGAGGCAAAGGCTGGTGGATCTCTGTGAGTTCAAGGCCAGACTGATCTACAAGAGCTAGTTCCTGAACAGGTTCCAAAGCTACAGAGAAACCCTGTCTCGAAAAACCAAGGAAAAAAAAACTTTTTTTAAAAAAAAGATTTTCAAAATGTAAGTTGTCTTTATAAGAGGGAAAGACTATAAATTTTACTTTTGGCAGACATTTTCCTAAAACATTTTCTATAATTTTTGACGACATTAGACATCCAGTAATCTTTTTTGAACTACTGGGTTTTCATTTTATTTCACTGTTATAATTTTTGTAATATTTTGTAATTCAGCCGTGACTGGGCAACTTCAGAGTCGCTGGCTCTATGCTGGCATGTTATTTTAGTTCTGACTAATGGTTACTCTGTTGTCAGTGACCACCTCTTTTCTCTGCTGTGCTTTGTTTAGCATCCTGAGAACTACACTGAGAGCCTTGTTAGAGTGAGTGCTGAAGGGATGGAGGGAGCACAGGCGCTCAGCGGCACTGCAGAGCCTTATTTTCAGAATAAAGGACACATAGCCAGTGTGGCTTTTCAGGATCTTTCTCTCTTAATAGCAGATGGTTGAAGCTTCTAGGTGTCTTACATATTAAAATAGAGGGTTTGAATTCTTATAGAGAAATGACTTTAAGTGACAAGGTTTACTTTTGTGCCTCTCCGTGCCAAGAAGATGCAGGCATGGGGAAGGTGTCAGGATGCCACGTCTTACATCACCTCACTTTTTTTCCAGGGCTGTTGATGTCTGGGCCATTGGTTGTCTGGTCATTGAAATGCTCATGGGGCAGCCCCTATTTCCGGGAGAATCTGATATTGATCAGCTACACCATATCATGACATGTTTAGGTAAGAGTGTACATCTGTGATTCAAATTTTACAGATGATGCTTATTTATGCCGGGCAGTGGTGGCTTTTAAGGCCTTTACAGTAGCAGGTCTGTCTGTCTAGGCTGATCTTGCACATGCAGAATCCCTCTGTCTTTACAGTAGCAGGTCTGTCTAGATTGATCTTTTTTTAAAAAAAAAATATTTATTTATTATGTATACAATATTCTGTCTGTGTGTATGCCTGCAGGCCAGAAGAGGGCACCAGACCCCATTGCAGATGGTTGTGAGCCACCATGTGGTTGCTGGGAATTGAACTCAGGACCTTTGGAAGAGCAGGCAATGCTCTTAACCTCTGAGCCATCTCTCCAGCCCCTGTCTAGATTGATCTTGCACGCAGAGTCTCTCTGTCTTTACAGTAGCAGGTCTGTCTAGGCTGATCTTGCACGCAGAGTCTCTCTGTCTTTACAGTAGCACGTCTGTCTAGGCTGATCTTGCACACAGAGTCTCTCTGTCTTTACAGTAGCAGGTCTGTCTAGGCTGATCTTGCACACAGAGTCCCACTGTCAGCTGACTGCTTTCACTGCTTCCCTACATCACCATCTCTTCTCCATTTCTGTCGACTATTACTGACGAAGATGGGTGCTGGGTTTTTCCCCAGGTAATTTAATTCCAAGACACCAGGAGCTGTTTTATAAAAACCCCGTGTTTGCTGGAGTAAGATTGCCTGAGATCAAAGACACAGAAACAGAACCCTTGGAGTGCCGCTATCCCAAGCTCCCTGAAGTTGTAATAAATCTAGCAAAGGTAATTGTTCTTTTCCTTCTTTGTGCTAGGAAATGTGTATAGTGTGGAGATTTGGTTCGCACATGTGCTTCCCTCCCTCCCTCCCTCCCTCCCTCCCTCCCTCCCTCCCATTCTCCTTCCCTACTTGATCTTTTAGGTCAACAGTTTCCTCAAATGATTTTAAATTTGTTCCTTGGACAGACCGCTTCTTAAGAATTTGTGTATTTATTTACACCTGCAGACACTGAATGCTGGGTCTCGTTTGTGACATATCAACCACTGATGGTCACTGTTGTGATTTGTGCTGTTTTCTGTTCATTGGGTAGAAAGAAGAAATCTAAAAGTAGACAGCTGTTCTTGAAGAAGACTTGCATATGTTCTTGATTTTTCAGAAATGCTTGCATATTGACCCGGACAAAAGGCCCTTCTGTGCTGACCTTCTACAACATGATTTCTTTCAGATGGATGGATTTGCTGAGAGGTACGGTACCATAGTGCCGGCCTCTGCTCTGCAGGCCATAGGAGCAGGGTCACAGGGAAGTCTCCTTCACAGTCTCAGTGTTGCATTTGTTACCGCCACCCTCGCAGGACATCAGTTTTCTGTGTTCTACTCCATTCACCCGTAGTGGTAGCGTAATTCCTAAGGGGTGGTTTCCTGTGTGCCTGGAGCTGCAGATTTTCATGAAACAGTCTCTTCGCATTTCTTCTTCTGTCTTCTGAGATGGCACCCACCATTCTGCTCACTAATTATTATGTTGCTGCATCTGCGCAGTTGCCATCTCCTGTTGCTGGCAGACTCATGCCACACCTGGTCCAGTGCTGCTGGCATGGTTCCCAGTGCTGCTCCAGATGTTAGCCTTGGCTCAGCTGACTGAACAAGAACCAGGAGAAGAGTGACTGTGACAGAGCTGTTTATCTGTTATATATGCACAACATAAATGTATATTTTTATGTCTTTGCATGTATATCTGAATTGTGTGTGTGCACATGAATGGATGTGCTCTTGGGGGCCAGAAGAGGGCGGCAGATCCTTAGAATTGGAGTCAAAGGCATGGTTTCCAACATGGGTTCTGGGAACCAAACTCAGGTCCTCTGCAGGGTAGTCATTGCTCTTAACCTCTGAGCCATCTCTCCAGCCCACAGTGCATTCTTAGCTGCTGAGTTATCTTTCCAGCCCTAAAGCTTCATCATTTTACAAATCTCTTTAAAAATCTAGCTTAATAGATGATATCTGGATTCTTATATTTGCTTCTGTAGTCATTAGTGAACACCATAGTATGTTATTTTAGTTGGACAAAACAAATGTATCTCTAGAAAAGTGTTTTAATAGTCTTTTGAGATAATTTAGTATTCTTTGATTCTATGTCAAACTTTAATATTATACCAAAAGCTGGCATTGTTACCTTCTTCCTCTTTCTTCCTTTTCTTCCTCCTATCCTCCTTCTTTCCCTTGGTCCCTTTCTTGTTTTTATTATTCAAGGAAGGGTCTTACACTGTACTTCTGGCTGATCTGAAACTCACTATGTAGCCTAGGTTCCTCCCAAAGTCAGTATTCTCCTGCCTTGGCCTCCCTCCTCCTGTGTGCTGGAATTTATAGGTGTATGACATATAGGTGTATGACTCAATGCCCAGCTCAGCTGTAGTAGTTCCTTTATTTAAAATTGACCTTATGTTTATTTGTTTGTATGTATGTATGTCTGTGTATGTGTGCCTTTGTCTGTTATGTGTGTGTGCCCATAGATGCAGAAGATTGTGTTAGATGCTGTGGAGCTGAAGCTATTGGCAGTTGTTAGCCACGTGGTGTGGGTAATGGGAATTGAGTATGTTTTGGGAAAAGCAGCAAGCACTCTGACTGTTGAGCCATCTCTCCAGTCCTCTGTAGTGCTTTCTAAAGGACTGGTTGCGTTGTGAAATTTAAACTATGCCAATGACTTTTCCTCCTCTGTTGAATAAAATCCATTTTTGTCTGATCTTCTGAATTCATGTTTTATCTGTGCATACTTTTATGACATACTTTCATCATTTGAAGCACATTGGCAACACTGAATTATGTGAACTTTAAAAATGTTGGTATGTCATAATATAATATCAAAAATTATGCTCCATTTTATCAGAAAACTTTTGAATTATGGGAAGACCTCTAAGATCCCAAGTTAATAGATTTGTAATTTCTTACATGAAAGTTTGAATTTTATTGTTTACAGAAATATTATCAGTTTCTTTCCTTGCAATGATTAGCTCACCTTGTTCATTTTCAAAACAAAATGTCTGCTACATACCCTTCTAAATAAGCATGGCTTTTCAGTTAGTCTTTCAAGTGTAAATAGTACATGGAAACTTGTGTGGCGTGACCTGTGCTCGGGTAGCCAGTCATTCACCTGCTCTTTAGTCAGCCACTACAGACCGTAGGAGTCTCTCTTCTCATCGCACAGAATCTGAAGAGAGGTGTTCACGGGTTCGTTTCGTTTAATAAAATTAACCCTTTCACTGCTTTATTGTGAGCATCCATAAGTGACCCCCCCCCCCACAAACACTCTGTGTGGCTGTGAGGAGCACAGGAGTGCTAGCCTGGGTCAGTGCAGGTGTCTCAGTTCTTGGTGGGATGCCAGCAGCCTCATCCACATTGTTTGCCACCATCAGGACCAGTGTTTAGGGTGGTCCAGACATTCTCATGCTAAGACTCCTGAAAGACTCTTCCACACCCAAAGGCTTTTAAGAAACTGTTCATATGGAATGTGATTTTTTTTTTCATTTTAAATAAAATGGATTAGGTTAACACTGAATCTTAAATTATTATCTTGATTTTTTTTCTAGGATTATCTTTCTCATATAATTTTATTTTAATTGAGACATGTACTTTTATATAGGTTTTCTCAAGAATTGCAGTTAAAAATAGAGAAAGATGCCAGGAATAATTCTTTACCCAAAAAATCTCAAAACAGAAAGAAAGAAAAAGATGATACCTTAGGTGAAGAAAGAAAGACGCTTGTGGTCCAGGTAAGTGTTCATATTTTAAGGTTTAAATTTATGGAGGAAGACGGGCGGTGGTGGCGCACGCCTTTAATCCCAGCACTTGGGAGGCAGAGGCAGGCGGATCTCTGTGAGTTCGAGACCAGCCTGGTCTACAAGAGCTAGTTCCAGGACAGGCTCCAAAACCACAGAGAAACCCTGTCTCGAAAAAAAAAAATTTATGGAGGAAAATGCTGATTTAATTTTGTTTGTTTGTCAAGACAGGCTATCTTTTGGAACCTGTCCTAGAACTTGCTCTGTAGGGGCTGGAGAAATGGCTCAGAGGTTAAGAGCATTGCCTGCCCTTCCAAAGGTCCTGAGTTCAATTCCCAGCAACCACGTGGTGGCCCACAACCATCTGTAATGGGGTCTGGTGCCCTCTTCTGGCCTGCAGGCATACAGACAGAATATTGTATACATAATAAATAAATAAATATTAAAAAAAAAAAGAACTTGCTCTGTAGATAAGACTGGCCTCAAACTCAGAGATCCACTGCCTCTGCCTTCCGGTGCTGGGATTAATGGTGTGTGTCACCACCACCTGGCAGAAGATTTAAGTTTTTAAAAATTAGATGTAGTCACTTTATTTTATATGTGAGTGTTTAGCTTATATGTATGTGAAGCACATACAGGCTTGGTACCTGTGGGGTCAGAAGAGGGCATTGGCTCCTCTAGAACTGGAATTTCAGATGGTTTGAGAGCCATCATGTGGGTGCCGAGAAGCAAACCTTTGTTTTCTGCAGAGCAGAAAGTGCCCTTAACCTCTGAGCCATCCGTCTCTTCCACGCAATAATGAAGATTTTAAAGTTTTAAAACACTGGGCAAATTGTTAACTTTCAAACTGGTTGAAAAGCCAAACAAGCAAAAAGATCATTTCTTTCCTGTAGACACTACCTTAAATAAAACCCTTAACATATTCTGTTTTAAATGCTCAGTAGTACTAGAAAGTACAGTAGTGTTCTTAGAAAGTCACCTCACATAAAATAATGACTTGTCAACATAAGGAAATGGCGTATTCTGGGCCAAGGATGAGTTACCATGCCTCTGGAACATGACTTTTAGTTATCCTGAATGACATGCTTTGCTGTGAGAACTTTATAGCCATGGAACAAAGGTTACTAAACACACTGGTAGGTCTTAGGTAGGTAGACTACAGCAGGAAGTCTTTCTGCTCTTTTCACATGTTAGTTTACAGCCTTTGGGTTTTGGTAGAGGCCAGAGGTCCACTGTGCTCATCAATACAATCTAAGAGTTTACTTGATAGTCTTGAGGAAGCTGGCTCAACTACAGAATTTAAATGCTATTAAAGGGACTAAGATAATCCAAGGTAATTATGTCTTCAGACCTACATCTGTCTCTACACAGTCACAGTTTCTTATCCAGAGTCAGTCTGCAAAATCTTTACTGTAGATGCAGTCTTTGTAGAGAGTTTCAGATCCACACATGCATCCAAGAACTCTGGGCATCTCCGTCCATGCCCATACAACACTGGTTTGCAAACACATCTCCCAACTTAGTCTGTTTTCCTTCTTTAATAATAGAAAATGAAAATATTATTTTCAGAATTTTTATAACATTTTAAATTTGTGATTCTGATAGTTAAAAGTTTACTTTTCAGGTTGGGCAGTTGTGGTGCATACCTTTAATCCCAGTACTCGGGAGGCAGAGGCAGGTGGATCTCTGAGTTCGAGGCCAGCCTGATCTATAAGAGCTAGTTCCAGGAAAGGCTCCAAAGCTACAAAGAAACCCTGTCTTGAAAAACAAACAAACAACAACAACAACAAAAAAAACCAAACCAAAAACAAAAACAATAAGGTTTCTAGTATTATCAAGTGAAACAAAAGAAGAGTTTTCAAGTTTATGCTCTCTGACTTTGAATATGTAAGAGCCAAAAGCAGCAATCTCTATTCATCTTCCATGTTTTCCTCCCTACTGAAATGTATACGCACAGCCACAGGTCTGCCTCTCTCTGTCTCTCTACCATCTATCTACCATCTATCTGTCATCTCTCTGTCTATCCAGCATCTGTCTGTCTGTCATCTATCATCTATCTACCTACCTACCTACCTACCTACCTATCAAGTTGATAATGCATCAAATAAATATTCTTTTTTTAAACATTTAGTAGAAAATACCTTTAATCCAATATGAACTGAAGAATAGTTTCTTTTTTTTATTTTTTTTATTTATTTACTTAACTTTATTATGTTTGTTGGTGTGAAGGTATCAGATCTCATGGAACTGCATTTTCAGACAGTTGTGAGCTGCCATGTGGGTGCTGGGAATCGAACCCGGGTCCTCTGGAAGAGCAGTCAGTGCTCTTAACCGCTGAGCCATCTCTCCAGCCCCTTCTTTTTTTTTTTTTTTTTTTTTTTTGGATTTTTCGAGACAGGGTTTCTCCGTAGCTTTTGGTTCCTGTCCTGGAACTAGCTCTTGTAGACCAGGCTGGCCTCGAACTCACAGAGATCCACCTGCCTCCGCCTCCCGAATGCTGGGATTAAAGGCGTGCGCCACCACCGCCCGGCTCAAATAAATATTCTTGTATTATCACAATAACTATTTGAATAAGAATCTTGATTTTAATTCCGTAGGTAGAATAAGGGTGTGAAGTTTCTTGTCAGATTATTAAATTTTTAATATCTTTATCAATGTTCAGGATACTAATGCTGATCCCAAAATGAAGGATTCTAAAGTGCTTAAAATAAAAGGATCAAAAATTGATGGTGAGAAAACTGAAAAAGGAGGTAGAGCTTCAAATGCAGGCTGTATCCATGACAACGGGACAAGCCACATCAAAGGCTTGCCTTCCACAAGCCTCAGAGACTGCAGTAATGTCAGCATTGACCACCCAAGAAACCCAGGCATGGCGATTCCTCCACTCACACACAATCTTTCTGCAGTTGCTCCTGGCATCAATGCTGGGATGGGGACTATTCCTGGAGTTCAGAGTTACAGGTATGAACGGGAGATGAGACAAAAAAAAAAAAAGCTTGCTAATTTGTTCACATGATTTTACTGACAGAATTCTGACTGCAATTTCTACTTATAAAGTAGCTGTTTAAATATGATGATCTTGTAGTAATAAGAGCGGCGGGGCTGCGTTCCCAGCACCCCGGCCGCCTGCTCGGCTAGCTTATGCCCCGAAATAACAACACACAAACTGTATTCATTTAATCACTACTTGGCCCATTCTCTTCTAGGCTAATTCTCACATATTAATTTAGCCCATTTCTAATCATCTGTATATGGCACCCCAAGGTGCGCTTACCGGGGAGATTCTAGCCTAGTCCATCCTGGGTCGGAGCTTCATGGCGTGTGTCTGCCCGGGAGCAGGGCATGGCGTCTCTGCTGAGGCGTCTGCTCCGGAGAGCAGAGCTGTGGAGTCTGAGCTCACTTCCTCTTCCTCCCAGAGTTCTGTTCTGTTTACTCCTCCCACCTATCCTCTAACCAATAAAATGGGCCAGGGCAGTTCCTTTGTTAGCCAATGACCTTCCTCCATCATGATCTTGTGATAAAAATTATTATAGTTTACTAGGAAAAAAGGAAAGAATTTACCTAAGTCCTAAGAAAGTATGATTTTACTGTTGTTTATGATACAGAGAATCTATAGCTGTAATAAGAGGACTAATTGGTGTTGGGTGGCTGCTGCTGCGTGGAATGGTGGTGAGCATGTGGTGTCATAAGATGCTCCTTTGGGCTTGTTCCTGAAAGGGGCAGCTGTGGGAAGCCTGAGCAATGTCATAAGAGACAGGATATTTGATCAGACTTCTGTGCGTTGTGTACTTGAGAATAGGTATTAAATTGCCTATCTTTTAGCTTGATGTCATTGATTTTGTGTTTGAATAAAATAATTATTAATGATTCTAACTTTACAATCTGTTACAGAGTGGATGAGAAAACTAAGAAATACTGTAATCCATTTGTTAAAGCTAGCCAGCCTTCCCCATCAGGGATCTATAACATGAATGTGACCACATCCGTAAGTAACTGTTCTCAGCAGCCAAAGAACAAGCACTCGTCACCTCCAGACCTGCACTGGTCTAAGCATGAGAACGAAGAATTAAGAATTTATTTGGAGACACAGAGTAAAATCTGAATTATACAATACCATCCTATGACAGCTGTAATTTGAAATTCAGGTTGTTTAAATAAATTTTTTAAGTCTTAATGAAAGATTCTCTAAGATTAAATCTCATTTATTTTCAGCAATATAAATACATTTTCTTAACCTAATGCTTGTAGTTGAGTTCTTTTTAAAGAGCAAACAAGAAGATACTTTGTCTTATTATCTTACTGGATTTTTAGTGAACATATTTTATATAATCACTTAAGAGCCATCTATGATCATTCTATTGTATATAAGACACTGGAACTGAGTTGACCCAATCTTTATGGCACTCATGGTCTAGTAGACCAGCAAGGCGAAAACATGGTGGCAGGCTGGGCGGTAGTGGCACATCCCTTTAATCTACCAGAACTTTGGAAACAAAGGCAGGCATATCTCTGTGAGTTTGAGGCCTCCCTGATCTACAAGAGCTAGTTCCAGGACAGCCAGGGCTGCATGCGCGCTCGCGCGCACACATACACACACACACACACACACACACACACACACACACACACACACACCCTGTCTTGAAAAACCAAACAATCAACTGAGCAACAAGCCAAGCATGGTGGCAGATTTGAATGTGAGAAGCATGTATATGCTTCAGAGATATTGTGGGAAGGAGCTTCGTTGCTCTCAGCCACGACCATACCAAGTAGTCCACCTTTTCGTTCTGATTAAAACTATTGGCCTCTATTCTCTGTGTAAAGGCCAAAGTCCTTCTAGGTATTTTTGCCTGAATCAAGTCCCTAGCCCTGTATTCTATCTCTGTCTGTTATGTTCCTCCATCAGTTCCAACTCGAGATTTCCTTTTTACTTTTATATGATGGCCAGATATACCCATGCCTTTGGGCTTCTACACTTACTGTTTCTCCTTTACAATATTATTCCCCTAGACTATCCAACAGATGCTTTTTGTCCTCTTAGTCCATAAAGAAGATCTTGAGAACTTCTTTATTATTGAACTCATTTTAATATGGAATCTAGTCCTCTATCACTGTCTACACTCTCTCCTTACCTAATTCTCCTCCACTGTGTATGCCCAATACCCTCTGTGTGTTATATAAATGTATTGTCTATCTCTTTGCAATGGAAGGTTAGCTTCTAGCTCAGTAATTTGAACTTTTGTTTTCCTCACTGATCCATCTCATCAATTACAAGATGCTTAGCCTGTTAAGCTGCTTGAGAGGGTCCGCGGTATGGGTATCAAAAGCTGAGTAACAAGATTATACCGAGACAGTAAACTTGGGGTTGGATAATGTATATGAAGACCAACTGGTCACAATTAAGGTAAAGAACTGCAGTTGTTTGCTGAAAAGCCCAGACGGTGTTGTAAAACTGACCCTGCTGGTTAAAGAACCAGGATGGCAGGCCCATCCTCTGCTGCCTGTTGCTTGTTGGGGCTTCCACTGAAGATTGGCAAAGAGGAGAAAAGAAGAGAGAACAATCAGTTTTTGTACTTGTTAGCAAGTTTGATAAATTGACTGGTGAAACTGTTTTCTGTGTCAGTAATGTCCTTAAAGTTTTATTATTTCAGCCCTTGAAATCACACATCTGAGTATATGAATATAGTAGTTACAAGAGAATGAAAGCCTAGCTTACCTCAAAGCTGATGTGTGCTAATCATTCTGATAATCAGGTCTCTAGTGAAAAGTACCTCCTTCAGGCAAGTAAGAAAAGGAAGGAGTATTCCAAAGCAGACGTGCGACTGCCTGAACTAAACTATAATCATCTCCCGGAACTGAGAGCTTTAGAAGGCTTAGGTATGTTTATGAGCTTCTACTCTTTTCAGCCCTTTTGTTTATGTTGCTAAATTGTAAGCTAAGCTAACAATGTTAAAAATGTGTAGTAATGTGCATACTTACGTAGGCTAATGTGTCTACTCATCTATAGTATAGTGCTTATGTAGAAAACTGCCAGATGGTGGTGGTGTATGCCTTTAATTCCAGAACTTGGGAAGCAGAGGCAGGAAGATCTCTGTGAGTTCAAGGCCAGCCTGGTCTACAAGAGCTAGTTCCAGGACAACCAGGACTGTTACACAGAGAAACCTTGTCTCAAACAAAACAAAACAAAATGAAAAACTAAAACTAATAGTGCCTAATTTTTTTTATTATGTTTTTGATTCTTTCTTATCTAGCTCGAAATTCTAGGCTAATAAAGAAGGAGAACAAATCTCTTTCAGAATCTCGAATTCCCTCCCTGGCTGCTATTGACCTGCATGCTTCCAGTATTGCCTTACACCAGGTACAGAAATGCTCATCGTAGATACAGCTGAGGTCTCTCTCAGATTTAATGTGCTGTAGAGGGAATTTGCTCTTAGGAATTTGGCAGGTTTTTCTATGGGTTCTGTTTTGTTTATAAGTTCATTACACATAGAACTTTATTACATACACATTTACTGCAACACTTATGGATTGAGGTAATTCATTCTTCAGTTTGTGAGATGGGGTCTTTATCTTTAAAAACTTTTTAATAAACTTTATTATAAACAATTTGCAAACAAATAAAAACATCACATACTGCCAGGGATTGGTGGCACACACCTCTAATCCCAGCACTTGGGAAGTAGAGGCAGGTGAGTCTCAGTGAGTTTAAGGCCAGTCTGATTTACAAAGTTAGTTCCAGGACAGCCAGAAATCCTGTCTCAAAAAAACAAAAAAAAAAACAAAAATAAAAAATCACATACCAAAATTAACCAGACCCAAAATCTATACCACTCCATGAGCTTCTGTACAGTTAGAATAAGCATTCAGAATGGAATCAGAGGCACCTCTCTGTAAACAAAGACTGCTCTTAAATTTCCTGGCCACCCAAACCCAAATAATCACACAGAAACTATATTAATTACAACTCTGTTTGACGGATGACTCAGGCATATTTATAGCTAGCTCTTCCATCTTAAATTAACCCATTTCTATTAGTCTGTTTATTGCCACATGACCATGGCATTACCTCATTTTCTATATGTCTTGCTTCTTTGGTGGCTGGCTGACATCTGTGTTTCTGCCTTTCCTCTTCCCAGAATCATCCTAGTCTGGTTGCCCCACCTATACTTCCTGTCTGGCTACTGGCCAATCAGCGTTTTATTCAACCAATATGAGTGACAAATCATCACAGTATACAAGAACTTTATCCCACAGCACTTCCCATTACATTTTACACTTTAAGGATTGAATATATTTCATGCATTTATATCTACCATCCAACCCAAAAGATCCATGAAAAATAAGTAGAACTAGAAAAATAAGTAGCTGTTTATCCTTTCACAACTCATGTTCAGCACCTGAATTCAGTCTTTTCTGATCTCCTTACATTCAGCCTTTCTTGCTCTCTTTTCTTCATGTTATGTTATACTCACAAGAAAGTGTGTTTACATGTGCACATATATTACTGGCTGAATTCTCCATATGGAAGGTATTGTGTTTTTTTCTGAGACTGCATGATTTTATTTAATATTACACATTTTAAGTCCATACATTTTCTTGCAAATTTTACAACTTCATTTTTTTTAGACCTAGGTAGCATTCTGTTTTTTATATATACCAAACTTTTATTATCCATTCACCGACTAATGGCTAGGTAGCCTGGTTGCAGTTTTTTGCTTTGGTGACTAAAACAGCAGAAAACATGGGGTGCAGAGATCTATTGCAGGGCTCGGGCATTCAGGAGTGAATAGCAGGGCCATCTACTAGGTCTGCTTTTAAGTTTTTGAGAAATCACCAGACTGATTTCCACCCACCATGGTTGTACTAGTTTGCCCCCTCTCCCACAGTGAATAGGGATTCCTTTTTCTCCACGTCTCTCCAGTTCTGATTCTGAGTAACATGAGGTGGTGTCTCCCAGCAGTATTGATTTGCCTTTTCCTGTTGACTAGGGAGATTGAACACTTTGAGAAATAGTTATTGGCCATTTGTATTTCTCTCTCTCTCTTTTTCTCTCCCCCCACCTCTCTCTTTTGAGACAGGATTTCTCTGTGCAGTCCTGGGTATTCTGGAACTCACTCTGTAGACCAGGCTGGCCTTGAACTCACAGAGATCCTCCTGCCTCTGCCTCCCAAGTGCTAGGGTTAAAGGCGTGCACCACCACCACCCAGCTGTATTTCTTTTATAAGAAGCTGTCTATTTAATTCATTAGTCCATATGTTGACTGGTAGTTTTATTTCCTTGGTATTTAATTTGTGTAATTCTTTTTAAATTCTGGATATTAGCTCTGGATATTACTGAAGTGTAGTTGGTAAAGATTTCTTTCACATTCTGTGGCCTGTTTGTTAACCCTGCTGTTTTCTTTGCTGGAAGGAAATGAAACTTGTTTTTACCTGGGTCTCTGGGCTATGGGTATTCTATTTGGGAAGGTCTTGCATGCTCAAATATCTTGAAGGATATCCCTTGCATTTTTTTCTAAGTTTCAGTGTTTCAGGCTTTAAATTAGGGTCTTTGGTTCATTTTGAATTGAGTTTTGTACAAGATGAGAGATAAAAAAAATCTAATTTAATTATTCTTCAGTTAGAAATCCAGTTTTGCCAGCACCATTTGTTGTATGGGCTTTTTCCCAAAGTAGTTTTTGTCTCCTTTTTAGACAATTAAGTGGGCACAGCTTTGTGCTTTATTACTGGGTCCTCCATACGATTCCATTGGCCTACTTGTCATTCTTTTTTATGGTCTTTTTTTTTTAAATTTCATTTTACGTTCCGTTCACAGTTCTCCCCCACAACCCCCTTCCTTCTGCCCCTCTTCAGCCCAGTTCCTATCCATTCCTTCCCATGGTAAGGACTTCCATGGGGAGCTGGGGCAGGACCAAGCCCCTCCTCTCTGTATTAAGGCTTAGCATGGCATTCCACCATAGGAACTGTGCTTCCATGAGCTAGTTCATGCACCAGAGCTATATGGTCCTCCTGCCAGGTACCTCACCAGATCATCCAGTTTCACCACTGTCTCCCATATATGGAGAGCCTAATTTGGTCCCATGGAGGCTCCACAGCTGCCAGTCAAGAGTTCATGAGTGCGCTGGGTGGTGGTGGCGCACACCTTTAATTCCAGCACTTGGGAGGCAGAGGCAGGCGGATCTCTGTGAGTTCGAGGCCAGCCTGGTCTACAAGAGCTAGTTCCAGGACAGGAACCAAAAGCTACGGAGAAACCCTGTCTCGAAAAAAAAAAAAAAGAGTTCATGAGTTTCCACCAGCTTGGTTCACCTGTCTCTGTAGATTTCTCCATCATGATCTTGACCTCCCTTGCTCATGTATTCCCTCTTCCCTCTCTTCGACTGGATTCCCGGGACAAAGCCTGGTGCTTGGTTGTGGATCTCTGAATTTGGTTGTTAGTTGCTGGATGAAAGCTCTTTAGTTGGGGTATTCACCATCTGATTACTGGAAAAGGCCAGTTCAGGCATCCTCTTCAATACTGCTAGGAGTCTTACCTGGGATCATCCTTGAGGATTCTTGGGAATTTCCCTAGCACCAGTTTCTCCCTAACCCCATAGTGGCTCTGTCTATCAAGATCTCTCCTTCATTTCTCTCCCCCTCCATCCCTCTCCCCTTTGACCATCCTGTTACCATCTCCTCCCCTTTACCGCTCATCCCTCTTCTCTCCAGTTTACCCAGGGAAGTGAAACTGAAATTTATGCCCTGGCAATGCTGAAGCATTCTTGGGCAGTCCATAAATAGTGGTTCTGTTGAACTTGTCCATATTGGGCTTCATGGTCTAAGTTGATGAGGATGACTGACCAGGTCTCTTCCTCAAGAGAGTTTACCCAGGGGATCTCATCTAATCCTCCTTTCCAGAGAGATCCATGTGTCCATTTTAGGGTCTTTCTTGTCACCAGCTTCTCTGGAGCTGTGGACTGTAGTCTGGTTATCCTTTGCTTTACATATAAGATCCACTTATGAGTCAGTACATACTGTGTTTGTCTGAGTCTGGGTTACCTCACTCAGGATGGTTTATTCTCCTTCCATCCATTTGCCTGCAAATTTCATGATGACTTTTTTTCAACATCTGAGTAATACTCCATTGTGTAAATGTACCACATCTTCTTTATCCATTCTTTTTTTTTAATTTTTATTTATTTATTTATTTTTTTATTGAGAAAAGGAAAAAAAACAAGTTCCCGCCTCCTCCCAGCCTCCCATTTCCCTCCCCCTCCTCCCACCCTTCTCCTCTTCCTCCCACCCTTCTCCCCCTCCCCCCACTCCTCTCCCCTTCCCTCTCCAGTCCAAAGAGCAGTCAGGGTTCCTTGCCCTGTGGTAAGTCCTAGGTCCTCCCCCCTCCGTCCATATCTAGGAAGGTGAACATCCAAACTGGCTAGCACATTAAGTAGGATCAAAACCCCGTGCCATTGTCCTTGGCTTCTCATCAGCCCCCATTGTTCGCCATGTTCAGAGAGTCCGGTTTTATCCCATGCTTTTTCAGTCACAGTCCAGCTGGCCTTGGTGAGCTCCCAATACATCAGTTCCACTGTCTCAGTGGGTGGGTGCACCCCTCATGATCCTGACTTCTTTGCTCATGTTCTCCCTCCTTCTGCTCCTCATTGGGACCTTGGGAGCTCAGTCCAGTGCTCCAGTGTGGGTCTCTGTCTCTATCTCCATCCATCACCAGCTGAAGGTTCTATGGTGATATGCAAGATATTCGTCAGTATTGCTATAGGATAGGGTCATTTCAGGTTCCCTATCCTCAGCTGCCCAAGGAACTAATTGGGGACATCGTCTTGGGCTCCTGGGAGCCACTCTAGGTTCAAGTCTCTTGCCAACCCTAAGGTGGCTCCCTTAACTAAGAATTGTGCTTCTGTGCTCCCCTATCCAACCTTCCTTTATCCCAATCATTCTTTTTCCACAAGTTCCCCCCATCCTCCCCTTCTCCCTTTTCTCTACCCATCTCCCCTTACCCCATCCCACCCCACCCCCAAGATCCCAATTTTCTCCCCGGCAATTTTGTCTACTTCCCATAGCCAAGAGGATATCTATATGTTTTTCCTTGGGTTCACCTTCTTACTTAGCTTCTTTAGGTTCACCAATTGTAGACTCCATGACACTTATTTGTGGCTAGAAACCAATTATGAGTGAGTACATCCCATGTTCATCTTTTTGGGTCTGGGTTACCTCACTCAGTATAGTGTTTTCTATTTCCATCCATTTTCATGCAAAATTCGAGAAGTCATTGTTTTTTTACCGCAGCGTAGTACTCTAATGTGTATATATTCCACACTTTCTTCATCCATTCTTCCATTGAAGGGCATCTAGGTTGTTTCCAGGTTCTGGCTATTACAAATAATACTGCTATGAACATAGTTGAACAAATGCCCTTGTCATATGATAGAGCATCTCTTGGGTATATTCCCAGGAGTGGTATTGCTGGGTCCAGGGGTAGGTTGATCCCGAATTTCCTGAGGAAACCGAAACACTGATTTCCAAAGTGGTTGCACAAGATTGCATTCCCACCAGCAATGGATGAGGGTACCCCTTCCTCCACAGCCTCTCCAGCAAAGGCTATCATTGGAGTTTTTTATTATAGCCATTCTGACAGGTGTAAGATGATATCTCAAAGTTGTTTTGATTTGCATTTCCCTGATTGTTAATGAAGTTGAGCATGACCTTAAGTGTCTTTTGGCCATTTGAAGTTCTTCTGTTGAGAATTCTCTGTTCAGCTCAATGCCCCATTTTATAATTGGGTTGATTAGCCTTTTACGGTCTAGTTTCTTGAGATCTTCATATATTTTGGAGATCAGACCTTTGTCTGTTGCAGGGTTGGTGAAGATCTTCTCCCAGTCAGTGGGTTGCCTTTGTGTCTTAGCGACAGTGTCCTTTGCTTTACAGAAGCTTCTCAGTCTGAGGAGGTCCCATTTATTCAATGAGGTCCTTAATGTCTGTGCTGCTGGGGTTATACGTAGGAAGTGGTCTCCTGTGCCCATGTGTTGTAGGGTACTTCCCACTTTCTCTTCTATCAGGTTCAGTGTGTTCGGACTGATATTGAGGTCTTTAATCCATTTGGACTTGAGTTTTGTGCTGCTTTTAAGATTATTTCTCTACCTTGTATTTTAACACCCTCACTATAATATGTCATGGAGTGTTCCTTTCTGGTTATGTCTGTATGGAGTTGTGTGTGCCTCTTGTGTTTGGAAGCCTATGTCCTTCTGTAAATTTGGGTAATTTTCTATGATAATTTCTTTTTGTGCAGTACCTACCCTCTCCCAGCACCATGATAATGTGACTAAATACTTGTGTCTATTCCATCTAATTGTACCGCTGCTCCTTCTACTATCATGTAAATTCACAGGTTTAGCCTCTTGGATGTGTCTCAGACTTCTTGGAAGTACATTTATCCTCCTAATCCATCTCCTTATACTTAAGTGCTTGTATCGTCATCTCAGAGTCTGTCCACTCTGTCTTCCAAGATATGACTTCTTACTCACCTGCAACTTACTGGTTAGGCTCGTGGCCAGTGGTCTCGGGTAACCACGGGTCTCAGCCTCTCCTATCTGAGATTATAAGCGTGTGCTGCAAGTCCAGATTCTTTTTTAAACATAGATTCTGGGGGACCAAACTCAGTTCATCACGCTCACAGGAGCTTCACCACCTGAGTTCTCTCTGTTAAGGCTCCGTTCTGTTGTTTCCCGACGATTAGATCTTAACAGCAGGTACTGTCTTACCCAGTCCGCCTTGTTTACTGGTTCTTCATTCTCTCGCAGCTTCTGCCTGTGGTGAGAACTTCTCCACTCATTTGCAGTGTTTTCCTTTACTTTGTGTCACAGCTGTGATGCCTGCTTTGGTTCCAGCAGATTTTTTTTAAATTTATTTATTTATTATGTATACAGCATTCCTTCCATGTATGCCTGCAGGCCAGAAGAGGGCACCAGATCTCATTATAGATGGCTGTGAGCCACCATGTGGTTGCTGGGAATTGAACTCAGGACCTCTGGAAGAGCAGTCAGTGCTCTTAACCACTGAGCCATCTCTCCAGCCCTTCAGCAGATTTTTGCTTTTGTTTTGGGATGAGTGAGAGAGATTGGTTTGTAGTGGGCCATGGCAGGTCAGAAGTATGTCCTCTTTGTACATGGGTTTTTTGGGACTGGGTAGCCCTGTTTGGCCTTGAACTCAAAACCCTCATCTCCTCCTCTCTAGTGCTGGGATGACATCTGGCTACAAAGTGTCTTTAAAAAATGTATTTATTTAATTTTATACGTATGAATGTTGTCTGCACATATATATTATACCATGTGTGTGCCAAGTTAGAAGAGGGGTCTGAGACCCTGAACCTGGACTAGAGTTATATATGTTATGAGCCACTATGTGAATGCTGGGAATTGAATCCAGCAAGTGTTCTAAAGCACCAGGCATCTCTCCAGCCTTGCCAGTGTAAGCCAGGTATGTCAGTGCTTGCTGTCATCCCAGCACTTGGGAATTGGAAGCTAGAGGATCTAGAGTTCAAGATCATTCTTGGCTAGATAACAAACTGGAGGCCAGCTCTGACAACACAAAACTGTCTCAGAACAGACAAACAAACAAAATGTGTTTAAACATAGGAATAGGGCCTCTTACTTCATCCTTTCCGTAAGAGCAACTTCAGCTGCGTGTCCTGAGTGTTTGTGCCTGAACTGACATAATCCGAATTCTTGGGTAGAGGGAGTCGTGCAGCTACTGGACACCTATAATGCTTACCTATTATTCCTAGGGATCAGGATCGCCCCTGTCCGAGGATTCTGAGGGTGACCTGCCTCGAATGGAACACCAGCACTGAGACTCACTAACCTGACAGGGTAGGTCTGGCTCTTCCCACTTCAAGCTGTGTATAAGAGCTGCTGGCACGGAGGGGCATGCCACATAGAAAAGGGGCTGGCATCGCACCCGGGATGAGATCACTTTCCACAGAGCTTACATTTGTTCTTAAGCTAACTTGCATTTTACTGGATGGGGCAACATGAAGGTAGCTGACAAGTCTTCCAGGAGAATGCGCGTCTGTCTCCAGAATCAGCCTTTTCCTGTGGACTTGTAAAGCAAGATCCCTGGCAGTTTCTGTCCCAGTAGAGCAGAATCCATGCTACATTTGCAGTAGCCTTGTTTGTAAGAACTAACTTTACTGCCCAAGACCCACTAGGACATCTGCTATGTGACCTGAAGCACATTTCTTATGTGATATCTCATTAGCTCTGTAGAATGTGATGGCGATAAAATACCATGTGCTGATAGCTGTGTCATTGGAGTTAATTTTAACCTCAACAGAGTATTCTGAGCACCTATGATGTCATAGCTAAATTTACTTTAAAAGCTTAAATTGCAAGCTTTCATTTGCACATCCTTCCAAGGCCCCAAGAAAGGTCTCTGTGATGCAGTCCATTGAGTTAGGTCACGTGAACTCTGGACGTTCATATCACATGAACTCTGCAAGTTGCATGCCTTATAAAACTTAGATCTGTTATATCAAATCAGTCTGTGCTTGTGTAAAATGAGACAGTATGCTACACATGGCTGTTTAGATTGGCAATTATCCTAAAGATTGTCTTTAACATCTTTAAGTTTCTTAGACAACACAGTATCTACAAGTATTACCAACGTATTTGACACGAGAAAGTAACAACATGACAATCAGTTTCTAGGAAGATTCTGTGTAAAGTATTTGGTGTGCACCCTGCTTCTAGATGCTGCCAGCCCTGAGATGACGTCTTCCTGCAACCAGAGCACCGTGAAATCTGCAGGTCCACTCTTGCCTTCTCAACTACCTGCGTTTTCTAAGAAAGGCTTTCTAGAAGAAGGCAAGACAGACTTCTACATACTTCAAAGGAAGATTGAACAAGTGCCCCCTGCTGTTATCCCTTCCCCTTTCCAACCTATTGATGCTATTTCAAGATATATCCATGAAAGACTAGTGATACAGTTCTGTTACATGAATGTGTATTTGATATTAGTTAGATTGTGTATTTAAAGTTCTCTGAGATTAAAAGTGAGTAAAAAGGAAAGAATCACTATAAAAGGTCATGTTCTTGTGCATTGAACTTTGCATATTATCTGTATAAATGTTTACAGTTGGAGGAAATGAAAAACGAAGCTAGGATCTGTAAGAGAAGTTTCCTTTACCTTTCCTGTAAAAACACATTTAAAAAGCTTGCTTCTAGGCATTAAGGTGGTGTGAGCCTGCTGTCTGTTGGTTGATGTGTGTCTTTGTTTTCTGTCCTTGTGAAGGGAATCTGCTCTCTGCTGGTCTAAGACCTGTGCTGGTACTAATCAGCGGAGTCCTTTTGTTTCTAATGCCTTGGCTTGGCTAGTCCTGTGCGGTGAGAGTTTCTGGTGCTCATGTTGTGTGTGGAATGCTGGAATGGTGTGGGGGAGAGTTCTGCAGCTGCACCCTGGAGTTAAGAACAGAGCCTCTCCCTGAGTAAAAAGGTATACAGAATAAGAGATGCTGCACAGCTGCCTAGTCACCTGGGCAGTTCTGTCGGGCAGTCACTATCAGTCACTCAGTGAAGAGGCTTGGTGGAAGCTTTTATGGACTCCAGTCTTGTCTGTGATAGTGATTGTGACAGAGGCTGATAATGGATTGGACCCACAGAAATTCCTATTGCCTTGTTACCACAAATACTTAGGTTTACCTAAAAGCCTTTTTACCAAGGTGCAAAGTTATTTCCCTGCATTCCACAGATGCTTTCTGCTGTATAGGTTTACAACCTTTTATGTGGGAGGAGAAGACCAGTTTGACTCCAGGGTCTTGGTTACTGGGTTTCCAGCCATGCTCCATGTTTATCGTTTGAGAACATAGCTCTTCAGGGGCCAGAATTTGTGTAGGGTTTTTGTATCAACTATCTAATAGTGTGCTTTTCTCAAAAGTCATTGACTAGAATTTAGCCTGAGAGTTGAATTCTCCATTACTTTGGGGATTTAAAAATGAAACTCTAAACCTGGACACGTGGGACCTCAAAGGAATAGACATTCCAGAGGAGGCAAGAATAGAAGGTTCCCACGTAAAAGTCTGTTGGCACTAGTTAAACTGCAATCTTATTTATATTTAAAAGCTGTGTTTTAAACCTCTGACCATGGGTTTGCCTAGGCTAGTTAGACTAACACGCTGGTAAAGTCACTCTATCAGCAGAAGGGGGCTTTCTACTAACATCCATGACTTACTCTTGTGTTGAAAAGCATAGCCCACAGACAGCAGCGTGGAAGACAGACAGCTGAGGTCACCCAGCGCATGGCAGTGTCATCTTCATGTAAAGGCCAATGCGGAATTTTAGTTTGATAACTGAGCGAGGGTCTATCAGCCACCTTATAATCTGTGTACTTGGGTTTGGTATCTTTGGCCTAGTAAGACACTTTATGAACTTTAGAATTAAGGAATTAAAAATAATTTTCTAAGTCCTTATTGTTATTTGAAGATCATTTTTGGTTAGAACTTTGGTGTGGAGCTAAAGAACTAAAGATTGTTCAGATCAGTCTGTAGGTACTGACCAAAACAATATCTGTTTTCAGTTTGTGGGGTTTAGTCCCTTCTTGCAAGAATAGACTTATATGGACATGCTAATGTGAAGTGATTTTAAGTGCTTTTGAGAGACAATGGGCTTGCTGTGCCTACCTATGTTTTAAAATTAATAAATATTGTCTAACTAAGCACGATAGATGGTTTTAATTTATATTAAGAGAGTATAAAATATACATATCACTATATAGTATTAATAAATAAAATTGAAATAATCAGTCAATTCTCTTCTCTTTTTTGGTAGAAATTCTGGACTTAGGGTATAAAGTTAATTTTTTTCTTTTAATACTTTGACTTCTTTATTTTTAATCCCTTTTATCTCTTACTTTTTTTCTTTTAAAATTTATTTTTATTTTAAATGCATTGGTGTTTTGCCATGGGTGTTGAGTCCCCTGGAACTGGAGTTACAGACAGTTTTGAGCTGCCATGTGGGTACTGGAATTGAATCCAGATTCTCTGGAACAGAAGTCAGTGGTCTTAACCTCTGAGCCATTTCTCCAGCCCCCAAGTTAATTTTTCTTGTAGAGCTGTTGATATAGGCAGGCAGTATTGTGACAAAATGACATTTTGTAACACCATCTGCCCAAAGTATGAGAGACCCAGGCCCAAGCTTGGCACCTGGTTCTGCTGGTGGAGACCCCTTGTGTTTGGAATGGCAGGCTTCTCTCTCCCTTTTGCCTCCTCCCTCATCCCCCAGTAGCCTACTGTTTTCGGCTGTGTCTGTGTGAAACTGCTGGTCAGACTTATACTGGAAAATGTGGTTGAATTTTTTTAAGGCCTCCTCATGAAATCAAACCACAGGTCAGGAAGTAGAGCCTACCAGAGCTTGCTTTAAAGGCTTAGGCGTGTCTATTGAGTTGGACTGACTTTTTTTCTGTATTGTTTGTGTTGAGTGTGTTTATGACAGGGGCCCTTAATGCTTTTATTTGTATAAAAAGTTACGTTCTCATATTTCTTTCTAATTGGTATTACTTTCCCCTCTTCTTAGTTTCAAACATGGAATAGCTTGAAGATGTAAGAACTTGGCAGCATACCTGCTGCTTAACACCCTTCTGAGAAATGCCTCAGATCCAGACGCATCTCCCAGCAGCAGTGCAAACTTCTCGAAAACAGAACTAGTCATTTTACGTTGTTTGTCATGAAACGTTTTCTCCCCCGTTTCAGAGCCTTGTCTAATTCTTTTATTCTTTACTTTGGCATCCTGAATCATTTCTTGTAGAAGTGAGAAAGGTGCAGATAAACTCTGGGGATGCTATGTCAGTTAACATAAGATGGACTCTGGGGATGCTGTGTCAGTTAACATAAGATGGACTCTGGGGATGCTGTGTCAGTTAACATAAGATGGACTCTGGGGATGCTGTGTCAGTTAACGTAAGATGGACTCTGGGGATGCTGTGTCAGTTAACGTAAGATGGACTCTGGGGATGCTGTGTCAGTTAACGTAAGATGGACTCTGGGGATGCTGTGTCAGTTAACATAAGATGGACTCTGGGGATGCTGTGTCAGTTAACATAAGATGGACTCTGGGGATGCTGTGTCAGTTAACGTAAGATGGACTCTGGGGATGCTTTGTCAGTTCACGTAAGATGGAGTCGGGGCGTGAAAACATTGTCCTCAGTCACCACCTGGACAGGACCTCCATCCAGGACAGGAATAGTACAGTCACCATGTTGCTGATTCTTCTTTGTCCCTCTAGATTAGGAACCAGACCTTACTAATGTGGTAGTAAGAAAAGCTTATGAAAGTAGAGATATTGTTCATACTTTTGTGAACCTAGGCTTATACAGTTAAAGAAGTTACTTCTTAAGCCAATGGGTGTTTGTTGACATAAATTGTGGTTATAATTATTTACAGCAGAAATTAATTTATTAAACATTTATTTAGATAATAAGAGCTGGGGACTAGAGCGATGGTTCAGTGGTTCTGAGCTCAGACTCTTCTTCCAGAGAACCTAGGTTCAATTTCCCATATCCACATTTCAGCACACAACTGCCTGTAACTCCAGTTCCGTGGGATCTCATGCCCTCTTCTGGCCTTCACGGGTACTGGGCACACAAGTAGCATACAGACATACATGTAGGCAAAACACCCATGCATACAAAATAAAACGTTTTAATAGGTAATATGAGCCTTTAGAGCTTATACTCCTGGTATTTCTTGTATTAAAGGAAGATGGAGATGTTTTCTTTATCACTAAGCAAAGCTTCACTCCCAGGATACTGAGTACCGATTTTCTGCTAAATTCTCTCCTTAATTAATGGAAGGGAAAGGAAATAGGATTCTGCTGGTTGTGCTAGTGGCAACATATCCACGGAACCACATGGCCTCTACACAGTGGTGAGGGCAAGAGTGGATGTCGGAGAAATGGTCTTCCCCACGGGTCAATATTTGAAGCTACAAAAGGTATACAGGAAAGTTCTGAGTTCAACACCAGCCTGGTCTACATAGTGAAACCATTCATGTCTCAAAAACAAAACAAAATGAAAAGGTGTGTTTTATTTTAGTCTTCATTGATTCTGTCAAATTGTCCTCCAAAAAGACTATCACATTTTTCAATAAAGGAAAATGTCAAATTCAGGTAATATAACATGAATACATGAAAATATGTTGTGGGTCAAAAATTAATATTGAGAGATGCGACCTAGTCAGAAGAAAGAAAAGGGCACAGAGCCCAATTTCTCTATCAGATTGTGGTCAGAAAATATGAGAAGTAAGCTTTTCTGGACAGGAGGGGAAAGGTCAGTGCCACTTTACTGGGCAGGGATTACTTAAGGAGTTATCTGCTGCAGCTGGCTCTGTGCAGGATGCTGGGTTCTGCCAAGCTCTATTCCAGGAGGTGGCGGTAAAGCCCTGCTCACGGTAAGTCATGTCCATCCCAAGGGAGAAGAATACTAAAATCTGTGATGAATTTTGTGTGAGAACTAGTATCTCTCGCTTTTTGTCCATGCATCTAAAAATGGTGATTTACTATTATTTTAGATTTAATCATGTGTGAATGTATATTGCGTGAGTCTGTATGTGGGAATGCACATGTGTGCAGGCACCCATGGATGTGAGAGGTGTCAGATCCCCTGCAACTGGAGTTAGAGGTGCTGGGAGCATAGCTCACTGAGCCATCTCTACAGCACTCTTTTCTGTGTGTGTGTTTGTTCTTGTTGAAGTGGTAAGATGTCATCAGTCACCTGAAACTTAGAGAAGGCCTGGGAACACTGTAATGGGGCGTGAGAAGGCACCACCAGGGCGGTGGTGCTCCCCAGTGAGCAGTGGTGCTCCCCAGCAAGCATTGGGAGCACACTGCTTTATCCAGGCTCCAGGAGTTTCTGAAACACACTGGGGATACAGAAGACTGGATGGTCATGATCTCCTCACAGCCTCTGTGATTATCGGGGCTCCCTGGGTGCCATTAGGTGGCTGGGGACTCCTAGGTCAGCAAGGCAGAGATGTGGCTGGTTGGGAAAGTGGACATGATAAAGAACAGTGGATGTGTTGGGGACTTACTACTTTAACAAGGCAAAGATGTGTTACATTTATTTATGTTGTGGAATATTACTTTTAACTATGTAAAGGTGTGTTACATTTGTTTATGCTGCGTTTGTTCAATAATGTGAAGATGTGTTGCTTTGCCTGCCTAAGGTACTGACTGGTCTAATAAAAAGCTGAATGGCCAGTAGGTAGACAGTGGATGGATAGGCAGGGTTGCCAGGCAGAGACAATAAGTAGGAGTAGGAATCTAGGTTCAGGAGGGAGAGAGAGAACGAGGGAGAAAGAGGGGGAGACACCCAGGACCAGGCAGCTACCAGCCAGCGAGACACGGAGCAGGACATACAGAATGAAAGAAAGGCAAAACATAGATGGAGAGAAATAGGCTAAAAGAAGTTATAAGAGCTAGCAAGAAATGAGCCTAAGCTAAGGCTGAGCATTCATAACTGACAAGAAGTCTCCATGTCATGATTTGGGAGCTGGTTGGTGGCCCAAAAGAAAGACAGCTACATGGATGTCATCAAAAGCTCTGAGTACAAGACAAGGAATTGACAGAATCATGGAAGCAGATTTGCTTCCCAAAACGAAACTGGGGACATGGGTGAAAGACAGAGGGACAGGAACGCTGAGCAGGCCACTTTGAGAGTTCCAGTCTTTCAAGGCTTTAAACATCTTCAGGACTGACTGGAAACAGGGTTTTCAAGTGTGACGTGCCAGGCAGTGGTAGAATGTAAGTCAGTCCTCAGAGTGAATGGCAAGTGAAAAGAGAATCCACCCCATCTCGGCTTTCTCCCTCGATTCTGTTCATTTGCATAATGTAGACCCAACCCTGATGGCAGTTAGCAAACCCAGCTGCCATCACTCCACTGGATTCTCAATTTTAAAAATGCACAGCAGAATTTTTTACAGGAAACTCGCATCTTTTTTATGTCTAAAAATGTAAGTCCTTAGCCCATGTCTCAAAAAAAAAAAATCACTCAAGGAAACTAAATCAGGGAGGATGGGAAAGGATGCAGGTGGTGGTGGTGTGGAGACCAAGGGGCTTTAAACCAGGGTTAGACCAGACTTCTGCAGAGCAATGAAGGAAATTGTGAAAGATGTTTCCAAAGTTAAACAGTTGATTTTATGCAGAACATGTAATAAACCCCTGTCTTTTGCGCACCACCGCTTGGGGGTCCTGATTCCTAGGGGTACTCTGCTACTGAGCCAAACTCCTCACCCACAGACATTCGTCTTTACCTGGTCCTGCAGAGGGCTTTTACAAAGAGGATTGGACTTAGAGTTTTAAAGACTATTTATTTATTTTTTAATTTTGCATATGGGTGTTTTGCCTGCATGTAAGTATGTGTACTGCATTCATGTCTGGTGTCCACAGAAGCCTGAAGAGGGGATCAGATCACCTGGGGCTGGCTAAAGACTGTTATTAGTCACCATGTGGGTGCTGGGAATTGAACCCTAGTCCTCTGTGAGAGCAGCCAAGGCTACACAGTGAGACCTTGTCTCACCCAAAACAAACCACAACACCATTGTAATTTAAACCTGCTCTCCACACACACACACACACACACACACACACACACACACACACACACTTAAAAACTTAGAGGCTAAACATTGCCGTTAGAAACAGAGCCAGCTTTCCTGTATTGTAGGGTTATATTTTTAACTCCTCTTTAAGGCGTGCATAAATATAAGATTGACTTCTGTGTTTTTAGAAAAGATTTATTTTC